ATGTGACATCACTCGCCAGGACCTCGCTTGAGTGGAACCCGAATTGGGAAGCGGCGAATTGGTCGTCAGTGCTAGTTTGGGGTAACATGGAGGAGGTCATGTGAAGAGGAGATTAAAGCATGTGGGCAGACGTGAAGTTAGGTGAAAACGTTAGCAGAGAACCGAAGGCAATGGAGACGTGCGGCTGAAGTCCTATATTGTGGAGTTTTAATAAAAAGTCGTGGCCAACAGGTTCCATCATACCAAGATGAAGTAGATCCTCATAGATAGCATTAGTTGACGGTAATCATATGTATATATATATATATATCGCCATTTGGTAAAGTCAGGATTTTGATCCTGGTGTCTGTATACACTGTAAGAGTTGGGACTCGTACGGTAGCACGGCTGAAGAATCTTAAAATAGGACTAAAACAGTTGTCCAGCAATTCTTGGTTGTTCAGAGACTCTCTAGCTGATGTTGACTGGTAACGATATCCACATCGAAATGATTTTAAATGTTCCACCTAATATTTTTTTATTAGTTTTACAGCTAACCGCCTACATAAAAACAAACAATAATGATAATAGTATTCAACAAGTCAGAAAATCGAATAATTTTGTTATTTGCTGTTGTTGTTGTTCTTATTTAAATCATTTAGTAGGCTAGTAGTATGTGTATTTATTACACCTTTTCTTACAATAAGAGCAACAATAACCATTGAACATTGATGTTTGTTTAAATCAACATGCAAAAAATCAATCACTGTGTTCAATTATATGATTTATATATTTATATACATGTATCAATAATTTTGAGGCGTTTGTACATACACTTTCGTATGCATTCACTGAGCTATCTCATCCAATAGACTAACTAACAGTGATAATGTCTATTTTTACAATAAACATTGTGTATCTGTGCGTTCGTGTGTGTGAGGTAGTAATATCAACTTATGCATGCTTACTAAAAAATGTTTACTTAGTTAGTGCATTTCTTATAAGTGCATTATGTTTATTCATCAAAATAAAAAGGAAGAGATAATGTTTACTGGAATTTTGTAAACAATAACTATCAATGTCCTCTAATTAACTTTGAAAAAAACTACATTTATTTCAATTGTAGATTTTCCCGTCAATTGATTGAACCAAAATACTCAGTCTCAAGTTGACATGTCGGCCGCTTCCGGTGGAGATGCTTCGACAATGTCTAGGCATGCAATTAGAAGCAGTGGAATCCAGGATGCGCATTTTGTCCTTGTCAGCTTCGGTCCAATCAATCAACGGAGAAATCTGAAACTCAATTAAATAATGTGACCTATTGCACAAATGGTGGCTTTCGTCGTTTAGTGGATAACGCTTTGGCGTTTTAAACTGTGAGCGTTGAGTTCGAGCCACGGTCGGAACATTATCACTCACCGGGGAATGGAGGTACATCCAGATAACGAATCCCAAACATGACGAAATGCGATTTATCCTGGATTCCACTGCTAGTCAATCACCACCTACCAATTGACTACAAACAAAATTACAGAAAATAACAATGTGATATGCAAGTGTGTAATTGTGAAGTGTTGGGAAATGAGAATCGATTATGTTTCATACTTCATAACTCTGATAAGCGACGTGCATTTATTATTTTTTATTTCAGCTTGATTCCACACCGTATTTTTTGAAACAGGTATGGAATTTCCAGCATGTGATATCGGTAGCCCAAATTCTGCAAGCCGACCATAGATATCAGGTGTGCGTCGGCAGGGGATCGAACCTCAGACCATGTGCATGGTTGGCGAGAATCCTAACCGCTGTGCCACTGACGCACACAAAGTGCTGCCGAGCCAGGAGTCGAACCCGGGCCGCCTGGTTGAAAGCCAGGAATCCTGATCGCTAGACCACGCGGGACGACAAACGAGGTAAGAATTGATTAAGGTCAACACTTTTATGTATGCACATTAATAGTTAATCTTCGAATTTTCGGTGCGCGATTCGCACCAGTCAAATGCAAATGAGATGATGCTACAGGACTGGACTACACCGACTGCTGACCATTTCACCTATTTGGGAAGTTGCATCAGTCGCAACGGGTTGATTGATAACGAAATCTTAGCGAGGATACAAAAGGTTCGTGTGGTATTTGCTCACTTACTCCATCTCCGGTATATACGTAATATCTCGTAATTGATCGAAGGACATGTATAACTGCTCAGTAGCGATTCGCTCCGTCCTCCTACATCATTGTGAGGGATGACCATTTAAAGTGTAAGTCACAAGAAGACCAACTGTCCTTCGTCACAGGTGTCTACAATCTATCTCCCATGTTAGGTAGGATAAATAATGCTGAGGTTAGATAAGAAAGGAAAACCAATCGATGAGGCTATGAAGCAAAATCGATTACAGTGGTTAGGATGTGTAGCGCATTTCTAGTCATTGCCTTCCTCGACAGGCAATGTTACCTGACGATGGCGGCTGGAGACAATCAGTAGTGGTGATATTACTCAAAAGAGTCGTTCTCAATGGCTGACGCAGATGCATTCACTCTTTGTGCTCTGACATATCTATTGAACCTTACTGTCTTTTCCATGTTACTAATTTTCCCCCTCACATTTCTGCTTACAACCGTGCCTTCGAGTCTGTGTTTTCCTCTTCCATTGTTTGCTACATGTGGGTGTAGCGACTCGAACTCCTGCACTTTTGTGTAAAGTTCTTTGCTGCAATCTGTCGGTCAGACACTAGACGGCCACATGCTTTTGAGTGAGAGGTCTGAGAACTATTCAACTATCGGAGAGACTAAAGATCTCAAAGGTCGTTCAGAATTCAATTCTTTCACACAACCAAGTGATATGGATTTTTCCAGTCTGAAACTCGATGTTTCACTTGGGATGCAAGGAATGAATACCAAACACACTGATAATAATGGATCGATCTACAGCCTTGACGGAACAATTCATGTCCCTTCTGAGATTCAAACTCGTGTCATCCAGTGCCACCTGTAGTCAGACACGTTATCACTACTAAGATATTCGGACTCTCAATTGACTTCCTCTAGGACAACATCTGATACTGACAGTTAAACTGAGTCGGTCAGGTAGGGAGATGCAGACTGCCGGGTTAGGGCCCTCGGGACTCTAGGAATAAATGGCTGGAGACAATAGGTGACATGGCTCAAAATCGTTGTCAATGACAGCGCAGATGTATTCAGTCTCTGTAATCTTTCATATTTCTTTCTACCATTACCCATTCTCTTTCACTCTTATACTTGTCAGACTGTATTGATTCTCTTCACTCATCTTCTTGACTACCTCTGTGTGCTATTTGGAAGGTGGCAACTCGAACTGCTGCACTTCGGTGCCAAGTTCTATGTTGAATCCAGACAGACAGATAGTTAGGTTGCAGATACGCCTTACCGACGAATGCCAACTAACACGAAATTACCTAAGACAATCATGGTTCGAATACGGGACCCGTAGCTGAGGTATTTACTGCATTAGGTATTATGTTGTCCCCAGAAGATCACAGATTACTAATGCCAGAGCAGACATTTGACAATGTAAGCGTCACATGAACAAATATAGACCTTAATGAAGAAGTGAACTGGGACGTGAGGTGCTAAAACTGCTCTCATGGCTTCAAATATTTGAGAAAATTATACTGACCAGAAACCCCGACGCCTCTACAACTATTCAAGACTGATGTTAGTCAACAATATTCACACCAACAGATCCTAGTCAGACTAACGAGTGCAATCAGACCAACATGCCTTCAAGTACCTTTGATGACTACTCCTAATCACAACTTACAGCTCGCCATTTCTTTTCTATCATATTAGTGTTCACAAACTTCAAAATTCGTCGAATATCTGAATCTCACATCGCATATCACTCATGTGACTAGGCCGAACTACTACTCACCACTAAGGTATTATGACTTCAGCCTTCCAAATGGGTACTGACTACACTGACCTATCTGCTTCGCCAAAGCTAACGGCCATTTTTGAACTTCGACTCCATCTGCTGTCTTCTTTATCATCAACATGCAGTTAGTCTGTATGTAGGTACTTCACTGTGATAAAACCAAATGGCTTCACAGTTTTGATCGGCGTACAAAAATCTAGTTAGCGAAACTGTAACAGAATTAGAGTTTTTGATTTTATCCCGAGCACCGATTTTCATGATCATTCTCAGTTAAGTGAGCGGGAGAACACCACCTTTCATCCTATTATCACAAGGATATTAGATAAAGAAAAAGCAGGTACTTTCTTCCATTCTAAGTGAAACATACGGCTTCAGGTTTTTAAAGCAATTAGTTCCCTTTATGAATTTCGACAATAGAATAAAAAGACGTAGTTTATCTGAAACGTGTAATGTGCGTATTTGCGCAACACATATCGGACATCCTAATCACACACACACACGAGTACTTGTCACACATACAGTTTTTATAGAAGGCATGAATAATTACATTACAGGTCAAGGTCACAAATAATGGGTAGGGAGATGACGCAAAAATGTGGGCAAGAAAGAAAACTAAAAGGAGAAAAAATAAAGCAAAGAAGCGGCTGAAAATATTATAAAGTTGAAATTGATCCTTAGTTCTTAATTGGATTTCCAAGGCAGGTTTAAGTCTTTTTATGGGCCAAGAAGGCTTCAACGAATTTAAGTATGTGACCCAACAGTGTTTTGTGTATTGAGTTTAAAGGTATTTTTGATATCAACCGTATGACCCATCTCTATAATGTGCTTCGCTATAGATGATACTGGACATCTATTTCTGGGATCGATTGTATCTGGCGATTTTATTTGTTGTTGCAGCCACTTTGGAATTCGCTCTGTAGCCCTAACCTGCAAAGAGCGATGGGCCCTCTCTATGTACGTGTGTCCAAACATACATGTAAATTGATAAACACACCGGGATGTGACACTGTCGTTCGGATAATGTGAAGGTTTACAAGACCGCAGGTTAGGGCTACAGAACATATTCCAAAGTGGCTGCAACAATAAATATAATCACCGGATACAACTGATCCCGGAAATAGATGTCCAACATCGTCTATAGCGAAGCACATTATAGAGACAGGTCATAAGGTTGATTTCAATAATACCTTTAAACCCATAGACGAAACACTATTGGATAACATGCTTAAATTCGTTGAAGCTTTTGCCATAAATATGCCTTGGTAATCCAATTTAGAACCAAGGACCAATTTGTTTCATAATATTTTCAAACTCTTCTTTGCTTTTTCTCTTTCTTAGCCATATCTTTAGTTCATCTCCCTACCCATTATTTGTGACCTTGACCTGTACACACTGTGACCTGTAATGTAATTATTCATGCCTTCTATAAAAACTGTATGTGTGACAAGTACTCGTGTGTGTGTGTGATTAGAATGTCCGATATATGTGGCGCAAATACGCACATTACACGTTTCAGATAAACTACGTCTTTTTAGTGTTGCCGAGCTTGAAGTTCCTGTAGTGGGGAGCTTGTTTCTACCAAGGGGGGTTGCTAACCCAATATTTCCTCTTTTTCACGTTTATTATCATTTAGTAAACAACAATACACGATTTACGAGTGTGTCAGCCGGCAAACGAACCCGAATCTTTGCATGGCTGATAAGTACTCTACCCTTAGAACCATTAATACACAAGCATGTGCCCCAAAGGTGGGATTCGAATCCACACCAAGACGACTATAATCCTCAAGAGTTTAGGGTCTTTGACAGCTCTCTCGGCCACATAATTTTCAAATATAATGATAATAGTAAGTGAGGGATCTCTTACTCATATCGTTCAAATGAACTAAATACCGGTAGCACCTGACAAGCAGTCAAGAAGCGTATAGTTTTCTCGTATTACTAAGACTACACCGGAAAAGCATTCTTGGATAATGACTGCATATAATCTCTAATTATCTTCTATTTCTTTACGCTTCGATTAAACAGACGTCTTCCTCCAAAGACACAGTAAATCTATAGCCTGATTATTAACACGACTGACCGCCTGACTGACTCAGTGCTCGATTACGAAAAGGGACAACCACTACAACTGATGACGCAAACTCCTCTCTCCCAAACATTAGCGCACACACACACACACACACACACACAAAACAGAATACAAGATTAACACACACAAAGTGAAATGGCACAAATGGCTATAATAATAGTAATAATTATGACTGAAAAGAATTAAAGGGACATAAGATTTTGATCCAATAGGTTAAAGAAAAATAGTGCGTAAATACTCTAAAACTACATTTAACACACGCACGCACGCACACACACGGACACCCACCCACCTTGAACCAGGGTTTCCGCGACGGGGGGTGGGTGGGAAGGGACCTACGACAGCGAAAAGAACCACACAATAAACACATTAGCAGTAGTAATAGTGTGAATAGATGTAACAAATGTAAGAGCGATAAACCGCTAAACCACAAAAAACGTCATGCTGAAATTTCAATCCAGCACTACTCTCCCCCCACCAATATCACACCCGAGAAGGTGGATGTAGGGGGAGTGCGCTATCTATCGGACAAATCAATCAAATTAGATAAATAAAGTGTTGAGAAAATTGAAGTGGGAAATTAACTAGGCAAACACAGGTGGATAGATGGATCAAAATAAGTGAATTAATTGGTTCTCTCTACTCTGCCCCACCCACTTCACTATACTCATTATTGTTCTTGTTCTCACTCACTGTATACATCTCATTCAACCCCAATGCGCATATATCTGTTGCGCTTTTTTTAACCAAGTGTCGTCCAAATTTGATAATAAGACAAACTACAAAGAAAAATAAGGAGAGAGAAAGAACAAATCAGATTACAATGTTGGGAGACCAGAGGACACGGAAAGCAGAGACGGGGCGGTGCGCGCGTTGGGGCGGGTAGAGATAGACAGATAGAAAGGAGATTAAATAATCATTATCATCAGTTCAAATATGAATAGGAAACGAAAAAAACAGAAATTAAATTAACCTCCTGTTACCCAAATAAATAAATAATAATAGTAATACTAATTGTTATCATAGTAATTATAATAATAGTCATAAAGCTTAGAATAAATAATGTATGCAAAAGAGCATAAGTGAAATGAATAAAGTAGAAATATATAATAAGGGAGTCGGTTTACTCACCCACTCACTTTCACACACGAATACTACACGCATACACACACATATAGTGGACTAATACATATACATATACGCGTACATAAAAACCAATTAATTATATAAAACCATGTGTTTGTTTTCATTGAAATGAATGAAAACTAAGTGAGATGTCTGTGTGCGTGTGTGTAAATGTGACAGTATTACAGGCAACACAGTTGACGACAATATGATGTTGAAATTATTTACAGAATAGAGAAAATAACAGCATCCTTGTGTATAATAATAATAATAATAATAAAAGTAATAGTAACAGCTAGACAAAATAGTAATACTTCAATAATAGTAATTGTTATTTTGTGGATAGCACCGGACAGATTATGACTCCAATTTAACTTGAACAAGTTGAAGATACATGGACTGACTGATTGATTGATCCATCAACTTCTGGTGTGTGGATGTGTGTGTGTTAACACACCACTACCAATAACAACAACAACAACAGCCTGTTAAAAGCAGTTACCGCATTTTCTACACGACACGGAGAGACACAATTATTATTCTTATACTAGGGCATATATATAAGGGGAATATACAATGTTAAATAAGACAGGTTTATCAAAGTGAATTGGTCACAGACTAAGATAGCAACACAAAAGATAGACCACCATACACACACACACACTGGTGAATTATTGAATTGAACATGAATGATGAGGCAGATTATTGTCCATTGATTGTCGTCGTTATCATCATCGCCAGCATCGCCATCTCCTCATTACAACAGTCTTCCACTAGATTGAAATTCACATGGAGGCGATCTTCTGTTATTGTTGCTATAGGACAATGAATGTGTTGGTGTTGTTGGTCGTCTAGTTTGATAAGTGACTGTCGACTCAGATTTTGTACGACGACGTGATGATTTTTTGACAAAAAATCCAGTCGGCGGTTCAAACTGTAAAGAGGAAATAAGAGTTTTTTTTAAAGACACCAATTATAAAACCGGTAAAGTTGATTATCATCATTTGAGAGGTAAGGTAGGTGTAATAGAGAAAAATTAAACTATTATGACGATCCATGGAATGCGATCATACATAACTCACCTTGATGCCACCACTAATCAGAAATACGCAGAATATTGTTCATAAAATACATTGAACAAGATATTTCTCTCAGACGAGACTTAAAAATCCCTCTGAATTGTAGTCAGTAGTACCATTTTCTTAAAGTTACACCAAGTCTCTGTAGATGCATTCATCGAGGTGATCGCAAATGAGTTCTTTTTGTGACCAGAAAAGCCCTCCCTCCATTGTTTATTTATTTAAACGCAGAAAAAAACTTGGTAGAATATGGCACCAAGAAAGATGAGCCACACAAGTTGTGTGAGGGCTGAGATACTGTTCGGGCGCCCAGACCAAAGCAGGTGGTTTTCTTAAGGGACCACCCCCGAGCCTTTGACCTGAAGTCTAATCCGCAAGGCAGCGGAGTAGCGTCAGGAGCTGCATTCCCATGGTTCTCGGTGACCCATATGGGTTCATACGCCATTGGATCCGATTAGATTCTGGAGCCCATGTACCCCATGGTAACTGCTTTTAGTCTAATCGCTATCCGAACAACCTTCCTGACACAACAGGACCTGCAGGAACATAAGTCTCAGCCAGTTTAGTTAGTTGGGTCGCTGCGGTATTCAAGCCCGACCACCACGGCAAGGTAGCAGTTGTCGGCCTCCATTGAATTAATACGGGTTTCATTAAGAAGGCTGACAGCTGTTTACTGGGAAAATGCGGATAGTAAAAATACATCACTTTGTCCATAATCCCAAACCTTAACCTAACTTTAATGATAACCCGTACGGAGTCCCCTACACCTTAACCATAACGCTAACCGTAACCCGAACGAGCTATCATCAACACATTATTCAAACAGTATTTAAAAACGCGACCAGGATGAAATTTACACCTCGATTCATTCATAGGGGCGCTATAATGGTGGTAGGTCCCGTTATCCAACGGACTAGTATGCGTCCAAACTCATTGGTGTGTTCTCACTCCTGGATTGTTATACTTCAACTTGGATGACTAGATGTCACACGCATATTTAATGATGATGCGAACTGGCAAACACGCTGTACTGAGATAACATCAGTCAGTACAGACACTTGTTACAATATATACACTTTACATAAAATAAGCATACAACAAGAATAGGTAGACAAGACGGAGAAATAACAGATCGGTGAACAGAACTTAACAGACAAGTACAAGTTACAACTTTTCCACATTATCATTTTTAGTAGTAAGAAAAACAATGAAATTACACAACGCTGTTAACTATTGATCTCAAATCCACAATATTGCCATGGTTCCGTACAAATGATGTAACCTATGAAGGACTGTAGTGAAAACTACTAAGTACCTAGGACATTCAGACACATCTTCACTTAGCTGTGATTTGATTTTTTTCCTTCACGTTCCCCAGTGGAATATAGGGTTTGAAGTTTCTGTAGCAGTGATGTTTATTTTATAGGATGGGGTTGCTAGCCTCATACCCAACCTTCCCTCTTTACCAGCTTTTTTTATTACCGGCTTAGCGAGGTAAAGGCCGGGGGTCGAACGCCGGACCATGTGCATGGTCGGCGAGCTTCCTAACCGCTATGCCACTGACGCACTGTGATTTGAATAAGACATTTACAAATGACAAATATTATTTTCCAATATTTAACCTCGCCTAGTTTCCCTAGTCAGTCGCAAGATCGGGTAAATAGGGAGAATTAGGCGTGAGGCTACCGACACCACCCCGCAAAATCAATCAAACTGCTGCAGAAGCTTCAACGCACAAAGAAGCAGCGAAGATAGGACACCAGGTGAACATAGAAAAGGTGGAGACGGAGGTGATGAAGATAACCAACCAACAACAGCAGTCGCTATCGACGGGAGAGATTTGATAGAGGTTACCACCGTTCACTTATCTAGGAAGCATCGTTTAGACTACAGGCAACAACAGCACGGATGATGTTAAAGTTGGCTGGAATCGGAAAGGCAAGCTACACCTTTATCAAGCTGAAAAAAAAGTTTGGAAATCTTCTGCACTAACTCAGCACAGATAACGACATTCGGATTTTCAATACAAATGTGTCATGTCAGTCACTTCTTCTTGTATACAGGTCAGAAATTTGAAATGCCCGTCACGAAAACAATTTCCAAAAAGTTGCTGAGCTTTATCAGCAGCTGCCCACTTCGCTGACTCCACATAATGAAAGCGAAATGGCCAGACGAACGGCCGGCAAGAAAGAATTAGCAGAAAAAACTCTGCAGTGGAACAACAAACCAACCAAGAACCGATTGCTCCATAAATAAGTGGGAGAAAATGGAAACGGATCGGGGATATGTTGAGAAGACCGTCGAATGACACAGCCCACCAACCAGGTCATCGATAGGGTGCAAATCCCAATGGGAAGCGCGACGAGTGGATCGTCAGTGCGAGAGTGACACCGCAATGAGAGATTATGGGCAACCGTGGGGCCAACTGATAAAGAGGACAACAGAAAATAGAACGAAGTGGAATTGTGTTGTTGAGGCCCTATATGTTCTACTTGGAACCCAAGGGAATAGTAATTGCAATTTTATCAAGATTTAGTTTACAGGAATTTGATTTACTTCAAGTTTGACCACAGACTGATGATATCAACAATTACAGTACCACTGAAAACCAATGAACATCGGATAGCTAGCTGCTCTGTCCTAGTTCGGAACTCTTCAACAACAGTACCCCACAACCCTCACTGAACCAGGGATCGAATCCAGAAACTCCAGGTTACAAGTCAAGCTATTTGACTACCACCCACCCAGCCCACTAGGACGACAAATTGTGAACTTATTATGAACAGCAATAATTTATGATCGAAACGTTATCAAGTTGTTTGGTGTTGAACCACAACTTTGTGATGGGTTCGAACATGAAGGCTGACAACTATTTTTTTTACTAGGAAAATGCGGATTTTATAGAAATAAAACACCACACCCTAATCGTAATCACAACCGACACGAGTTATCAACACCATTGTTCAAACAGTAATTGAAATCGAGATTAGGATGACATTTGCACTTCACTTCAATGAACAGAGTTCACATAGTGGCGCAATAGTAATCGTCGTTCTCGTTATCGAGAATGGCAGTATGCGTACGTGTACGCACACCTGTATCGCTATAAACTACCTTAACTTGATCAGGTAGTAAATCTATAATATGACCTAGCGCCACCGCTTCGCGATGACTTCTTCAATGAGTTACTGCCTCACCTTCAACCTGCTGCACCCTACGGGTCGTCACAGCTTCCCACCAGAACCTCAGGTCACTGCCTGAATAGGGCCAGTCGCTAGTTGGGCCTCAGGTCAATTTTCAACTAGTGGCTTTTGTAGGGATTTTGTTTGATTAGGTGGGGGATTTCATCATGAGTTGACATCAACTCAACTCATCAGTTATAGAACCGGTTGGTAGCACTGGACAACTGTCTCGCTCTGGTTCGGGGTTCTTCATAAGTACATATCCACCAACAGGGTTCGAACCCAAGACCTTCTGATTATACAAGGCGAGCTCGTAGAACATTCAGCCACTGGGACCCGATCCAGTGGCCTGGCCGTGAATTCCAACTTCTGCCAATTGATCGAAGATATTGCAGAGTGGTCACGCTATGTCGTGAATTAGAAGTTGGAATTCATGGTCAGGCCACTGGAACGAGTCCCAGTGGCTTAATAGTCTACGAGCTAGCTTGCCTTGTAACCAGAAGGTCCTTGGTTCAAACCCTGTTGATGGGTACAGGACTCCAGGTGAACATAGACAAGACGGAAGTTATGAAAATAACCAGCCAACAACAACAACAACATCCAGCGCCACTCACCATTAACGGGAAGGATTTGAAAGAGGTTACGACATTCACTTATCTAGGGAGCATTGTCTCAACCACAGAAGGAACGGACGAGGATGTCAAATCGAGCGAGAATCGGGAAGGCCAGAAACACATTCATCAACCTAAAACCAATCTGGAAATCTTCGTCACTCAGCCACATCAACAACTAAATTCGGTTGGATTTTCAATACAAACGTCAAGTCAGTCATTTCTTCTATACGGATGAGAAAGTTGGCGGGCGGGTCACAAAGAATATTTCCAACAGCCTGTTGCAGACCTTTATCAACAACTGTCTTCGCCCTATACTGACGATCAGATGACCGGGCCGGAAAAAATCACCAACAAGAAACTATGGACACTAACAAACAAAACAAGAACCAATCACCCAACAAATATGCAGGAGAAAGTGGAGATGGATTGATAGGACGCTCGCTGGGTGATATCGCGCCCGCATCTGGCCATTTCTCGAGTGGAACCAGGCCAAAAGGGAAGTGAAGAGTGGGACGTCAGTGCAAAGGTGACAGGGAGGAGATCGTGCGAAGAGGAGTTGAAAGAGTATGGACTAACATGGATGCAAGTGAAACGTACAGCAGAAGACAGAAGTGGCAAGTGGAGACGTGCAGTTGAAGCCCTATGTTCCACTAGGAACCCTAGGGAACAATAGTATATATATATATATATATATATATATATATATATATTACGAATGAATATGTGGCTTACGTTGACACGAAAATCTTGTAGTGTACGATATTTTGAATCCAATAGATTTTGTAAACGTGGTTCAAGTTTCACTTTTCGTTGGCTGTAGTGTAAGAAAGCCCAAAGTTTCTCTAATCCATACAGATGACCATCATCATAATCTCTGAGTGTTTCTTCCTATCAATAAAAACAAACAAAAAAATAAAGAGAAATGTATAAATTCATAAAGAAAAGTGTTAGGTGGCAGGGGGGGGACTCAAGTAAACCGTGATTTATCTAAAGGAGGAACACAACAGTGTTAGAACAATATCACCACAATTATTGTCATTAAATGAGGCGTCTGACGATAGACTTCTCGCAATTACTTAATCAGAACCCAATGACAAGGAACAGCATTCTGAGGTACTAGAATATAAGTCACACTACACTTATAAAGGCTGATGACCATACACCAACAACAATAAAATGACTAATAATTTCCGATGTGAGTTGATGGGAGAAGTACCCCTTTTGGACTTTTCTTCGGTTTATTAGGACTAGTATTGCGCGCTGCAAACAACATTATTACCGTACTCACTCACTCACTCACTCACTCACTCACTCACTCGCAGTATGTTATTTACTGACAAATTTATACACGGAGTATTTCTACTCTGACGCGGATATTTTAGCAGCATGTGCAAAATTTAAATTCAATTTATTTGCAAGAGTTTGTTTGCTGGAATTTGGCTTGTTTCAAGTTTGATCACGGATTGATATCAGCTACAGAAGAACCATTGAAAATCAGGGAATACTGGATACCTGTTTCATCCTTCGTCTAGGACTCTTCGGTAGTTTGAGCCCACCGGGTTCAGCATCTAGGACCTTTCGGTTACCAGTCAAGCTCATGGATCATTCAACCACTGATATTGAACTCAACGACCCACGAATTATAACTTTTACCAATTCATGAGAAGCCATAAGTATAGTGGGCTCCACCAGGTCGGGTGTGACGACAAATACTCGACGAAGGCGTCGATTGGTGGTCGCGCTGAAACCGTGAATGGGTAGAAGTTGGAGTGCATGTGCTGGCCAATGAGTCGGGGGTCTCAGTGGCATATTGGTCTACGAGCTTGACGTGTAAGCGGAATGTCCTAGGCTCGAACCCTGGTAGTGGGTGGCGTGCTGCCACTAAGTCTCGAATAACAACAGAACAGTACTACCCAACACTCCCTGCTAATTTTCAATAGTTGTCTAACTGATATCAATCAGAGATCAAACCTGAAACTAGTCAATTTATTCAGATGCATAGACTAGAACCTGAAACTAAAGAAAGCTCCTGAACTGACCGGGAGACTGCCTTCATACCCCCTGAAAAAACCTGCTAATAAATCTTTGATTTACAAGTGATTTTGAAGCATGAATTCTGTGAAACATGAGTTGTCACAATGAGACCAACAATAAGACGTAAGATCTGGACTGTGTGGATGATTCTTGTTTAATGTCACACAGACTAGAAAGATCTACAGGCAAACACCAACAAGTTGGCAGATGAAGCAATCTACATCGAAACCGCACTTCAAGTGATCATGGACAAGACGGGGATGATGAAGATGACTAACCAATAGCAGCAACAACAACAAAAAGCAGCACCAATGACTATCAACTCCTTCACTTATCTGAGAAGCAACGTTTCAACTTGGTGCGTCGGTGGCACGGATGTAGAATGCTCGCCCCAACCACCCCTCATGTGGTCCGGGGTTCGATCCCCGGTCGACAACTCACTTACTAAACCTTGCTAAGTCAACAATAAAACTGATAAAAACGGAAGGTTGGGTGTGAGGCTAGCAACCACTGCTACCGAAACTTCAAAGCTCTGGCTTGAAGTCTTATGTTCCACTGGGAACGTGAACGAATAAAAAAAATCGATTCAACTACAGGCAGCACGGCACAGATGAGAAAAGAAAAAACCAAAGTCAACTAGAATCGAAAGAGCACAACAGGTCTTCAATAATCTCAAATTAGTGCAGAAATTTGCTGCACTTATATAGTATGAAGAACAAAATCCAAATCTTAAACCCTAATTTTAAGTCTTGTTCAATAATTTCGCCCGCCACGAAAAGCATTTCCAACAGGAGGTTGAAGAGTCGCATCACAACACCTACTCTCGTTTCATATATATTGAAGATCAGACGAGTGATCAAAAACGGGATAAGGAGGCGTAACTCTGGTAGGCGGTCGACCGAACAAGAACCTATTACTTATTAAGTATGCATAGAATAAATGGAGATTGACAGGATTATACGCTGAGGACACCATTGTACAGTTACATCATACAACAGACTGCGGGGTCCTCAAGCGGGACTCGAGTGAGTTGTACGTTGATCCGATGGTGACATGGAGGAGACCGTTTGAAGCTTATGATCAATAGGAGAGCCAACTATACAGCATTGTGCTGCTAAAGCCCTTTATTTCACTCGGAAGCGATGAGAATAAGAGCAGTAATAATAATAACAATAATAAACTGGAAAAATGCACTAATTTAGACGTAAAGGCACATCTAAATAAAGAACAAGGAAAAATAGCAAAATCACCGTTTTACTCGTTAGTTACTCACCTGAAAATCTTTAAAAATTGCCTTACGAAAATGACGTTCTAATCCATAACTGTAAAATCGAAATAAACATTCTATCCCATATCTTGCATTGTCTTTAGCATCATCCAATGCATGTTTACGAAAATCTTTATACATTGATCGATTAAAGTGTTCTCGTAAAAAGAAGGACCAAAAACTATACAGTGTATTCATTTCCTAAAAAGATGAACACCACACAACACAACAGAAAGAATAAATAACAGGGAAGTGAATTCACAATACACACACACACAGACTAATTATTCAGATATTTTGTGAAATGACCGATTGATTGAGTTTCAGTGTGAAACTTAGGACAGAAGTACAACAGTTCAAGTTTCAACATTTCATGTAACACACTAAAGTCGACACAAGAGTCGCATTTAGCATCCCGAGGATCTCACTCACTCACTTACCCATCTCCGCTAACATTGCTCACCGGGTAAGGTGATGGCTCAGTATGCAAAAGACGCGTTGTTCTAGCCATCAGAATCGATGTAGCCTCCCAACTTTATCGATCGACCTAACCCTCCTTACTTGATGCTATAATTTAGATAAACCAATAAGATGTAATTTTCCTGAATCGTGTAATGTATTTGCGTAACAGAGGTAATAGTACATCTGCTACGGTATCATAACAAAATTTACCAGGGAAGGTTTAATGTGATGACGAATTGTTTTTGAACGCATTAAGGTGGCTTGAACCTTCTAATTGCTAGGGCTTCCACAAACTTTAGGATACGCCTTCCCCCAAACACGTTTTATAGATAGGTTTAAAAGATCTGTTAACGTCAATTTTATGTCCTGTCTCTATAATATATTTCGCAATAGAAGAGCTAGGTCTCCTGTTCTCACCGTTAATAGGTTCTGGAGATCCCGTTTGTTTCTGGAGCCATTTAGGAATATACCCTGGCAATTAGAAAGTTCTAGACACCTTTATGCGCTCGAATCAACAATTCGTCATCACAGTAAACCTCCCCTCTTGTTAAACTTTGTTTTGATACCATAGCAGATGCCCCATTACCTCTGCTATTTGGTTCAGTGGTCTCCATTGTCATTTTGACCTCGAATACGTCCTTTTAACTTGACCTAAGTGGTCTATTTTCTCACCTCTTACCTCTTTATTAATTTCATATATATTCCTACGACAAGCCCGTGTGTGATCAGATTGTCCGAAATGTGTTGCGCAAATACATTACACGATTCAGACAAATTACGCCTTCTTATTGATGCTATAATGCTTAACCTTAGTATTACTCATCATGTAACACGGGAGACAGAACGCAAACATCTATGACTAAAGACGGCCGGCGTTTTTCATAGCTTCCACTTTCAATAGTCACCTATGTGTCTCACGACCACAAATGAGGTTGGAGTGAACTGCTAAGCAGTACACACACACACACACTTATGTCCTCTGATCGATAGCCAGCCGGGTATATTACATCCACAACAAAGATGATGCAGGGCAGCAAAAGCCAAACAAGCCTTACAATGAAATGATTCCAATTTTTTCAGGAAGGCAGCTGAAAAATGAAAGCTTGAAAATCTTAGAAGATATTTTCTGGTTGGTAACTAACAATTTCTCCACTCCTTTGAAACTAATGCAGTACAGTGACTTCACAAAACTTAGTACTTTTTCACACCGTTATCTAACCTCATATCTCAAAAGATTTATACTTGAACATAGATCCCTCCATACTGGCAAAAAATAACGAAGCAAGGAGATAATAAGTGCAACGAGAGAAAAAACCAACGTTTTTAGTTACTGAAATTACCTGTGATTGACCTTTACCCTTTGCTTCTCTATCCCTGAGACATTTAGAACGGAATTGATTGTAGGCATGAAATGTGAAGCCTTTTTGTTGTAACAAATGACTTGGCTGATGTGTTGTAGTCGGAGAGGCATCGCTGTGAATCGTGGTGAGAGAAATAAAAATGAATAAGGCTGAAGCTTTTATCGATGACAGAAACGATAAAAACATTAAAACTGCACTAAAAATAGATTTGATAAATATCTGAAAAACTGAGAAGTATATATTCTCAAAGTGAATACGGGTGCAGTGGCTAAACCGAATTGTACTCCCATAGCAGAACTTTGCACAAACTCTCATCAGTTCAGCATTATTACTATAATTTCCCTTAATTCCTAGAGGAACATAGGGCTTCATTGCCTCCATTGCCTTCAGTTGTCTGCCAACGTTTTCACCTGGCTCCAAGTTTGCCCACATGCTTGTCATCTCTTCACACGACCTCCTCCAAGTCACCCTTGCACTGACGATCACTCGACGGCTTGTCTAGTGATATCACTTGATGGTTTCCCCTGATTATGGCCAATCCACCTCCATTTCTTTCTACCTATTTGTTGAACAATCGATTCCTGGTTGGTTCATTGATTGCCAGAGATCCTTGTTACTGATCTTTTCTGGCCGGCCATCTGATCTTGAGTATTGACCAAAGACAACTGATAAAGAAGGTCTGTAGTTTGTTTGAGGTGCTCTTTATGACACGCTAAGTCTCTGATTCGTATACGGTAGCGCTGACTGACTTCACACTGGAGTTGAAAATCCGGATCTTACTTTCATCTTCATGCTGAGTGCTGTTGACTTCCTGCACACAGACTTGAGAGTAATGAAAGCTTGTCTTGCTTTCCCGATCCTTGCTGCTTTGATCCTCGTCAGTTGCACGTGTAGTTGAAACGATGCTTCTCAGGTAGGAGTGTAGGTGAAGGAGGTTGTTTCTTTCAGGTTCCTCCCATTTATGCTGGCTGATTTTTGTCTGTTGTTGTTGCCCGGGAATCTTCATCATCCTTGTTTCCTTTATGTTCACCTGGAGTGAAGTCCTTTCTTTGATGCTTCTTCTGCCAACTTGGTGCTTTTCACTTGCATATCTTCCTGTTCAGCATGCCACACTTCATAAAGTGAAAAATATGAACTATAATAAACGGGAATTTATGAAAGGATGAATAATTAATTACCTGGAGAATAATGAGAACTTAATAGACCTGGGAGGTCATCACAGTATTCACATAACACGTTTGTGCTATTGAGAACAACTTTGAACCATGTCACCTAAAGTCTTTAACCATTGATTCTTAGCATCTCTCACAGGACTCCAACTAGGCAGTCTACACACATTCCAAGGTTTTTCAAAGGCCTCAAAAGACCTCTGACATATTTTCGCGTGAGACGACCTCTCCAACCCTTTATCAGCTTCATCCTATGTCAGTCAGTCAGTCAGTTGACATCGTTGATTAAGAGTAAGACAGTATGAGTGAGTAACGCATTTCTTGGCGATTTCAATCGATGCAGCTTCACAGCATCATTGATCGAAGCAATAAATTAGCAAGTCATCGTCAGCCACTCCTCTTTCAGTAGCCGGTATGATGATATCTCAGTCATTTTATATCCTTGTACATATTTGTATGGCATCAAACAGAAAAAAGTTGCCAGTATAATAAGACGTCTAAAATAAGTGAACTTAGCAACGAATATCCCTGTTCTAGGCGGTATGACTACAGGGCAACTTTTTATTTTCACCACTACTGATTTCCTCCATGCTGCTGTTGACACCGTAACGAAACAATATTGGAAATCAGTCACTTCGGTATTCGGGGCTATGAGCTGCACTTTATATGCCTGCATGAGGCTTGTCAAAACTGAAGTATGGAGAAAGTGAGATACCATAACTGGCTTCATCACTAGCTGAAAGTTGAGCGCTTGAAAGAGTTTACGTGTTACAAAAAATGACAGTAAGTAATCCTGAGTAAGAAATCGATGTTATCATACGGTTATGCAATATAAGTGCGTCGGTGGCATCGCGGTTAGGATGCTCGCCGACCATTCACATGGTCTGGGGTTCGATCCCCGGCTACAGACGCACTCTTTTACTTCGCTGAACCAGAAATAATGCTGGTAAAGAGGAAAGCTTGGGCATGAGCTTAGCAACCCCATCCTGTAAAAAATAAACACTCCTACAGAAACTTCAAGCCACTAGCTTGAAGCCCTATTCAATCTCTGTAATCTTTCATATTCCTTTCTACCATTACCCATTCTGTTTTACTCTTATATCTGTCAAACTCTATAAATTCTCTTCACTCATCTTCTTGTCTACCTCTGTGCTATTTGGAAGGTGGCAACTCGAACTGGTGCACTTCGGTGCCAAGTTCTATGTTGAATCCAGACAGACAGCTTGAAGCCCTATGTTCCACTGGGGAACGTGAAGGAAAAAAAATATGCAATATACATGATATTTCAACTCATGTGAGCAGAGGTTGATGAAGATTTTCCACACCAAAAAAATTGTTACAATTTAGAAAATTACTGCACTAAAAATTTACCTGCAATTGGCTTGTAGTTGTGAACGTGCAGCAGATACAGGATGTAGAAGGAAGCCAACGTGTTTACCCTTACTGGATGATGATGATAACTTGTTGTCATGACTTTCTGAACTTTGCATATTATACTAAAAATGGTAGAGAGAGAGGAGAGGGAGAGAGTAACAATAATAAAAATTTTAATTACACAGTGAACACAACATATTGACAACTTTAGTCTGTCTGCATACCTTGAATTGATCAATGTGATGTGACTAGTGAAATGCACAGAATTACGAGGGAAATCATGCATTGGTGGTTTAGTGGTAGAATGTTCACCACTAACTGAGGAAATAGTCCAATCCAGGGTTTGATTCCCGCCTGACGCACCCCTCTTAAACCTTACTAAACCGGTAGCAAAACTGACTGGTGAAAAGGGGACAAGACTAGGTGTGGAGTTAGCAACCCCACTCCGTAAAAATAAAATATCCACACTATTACGAACACTGCAAAGTTCTAGCTTGAAGCTCTGTGTGTTCCACTTGGAGCGTAAGGGAATACGGTTTAAAAAACGAGGGAAATCGCATAAATTTACAGATAAATTCACACTAAAATTATATGCACTTCTGCATTATGCCCCAATGTTAAGAGGGGAGGATATACTCATAGGTAGTAGATGGGGAGAATAGAATAGTCGTGAAGATACCATTCTTACGTTAAAATAGAGAAACTGGTTCTTCACATCATATCAAACAAAATAAACCAGGATAAATCATATTAACTCATTCCACAACTTTCAAGCAGTTAGTAGTGAGCTGTGGATTCTAACTTCTTATATCAATTCTAACTTCTGCCAATTTATGGGCCGTTGGCTCGGGTTCCAGTGGCTTAATGGTCTACGAGCTCGTTCGCCTTGTAACGAGAAGGTCCTGTGTTCGAACCCTGGCGGTGGGTGCGTACTAATGAATAGTCCCAAGATAAGACGGAAGAAACAGCTGTCCAGTAATCCCTGGCAGGTTTTCCAATGGTTCTCTAACTAACGTCAGCTCATGACGAAATCCTCCAACCAATCAAAAAAAACTTCCTACAGAACCAATGCTTGAAAATACCGGGTAGTGTTTAGGGGTGGGTTGAGAAAATGTGCAGTTTATGTGGCCAATATAATAACTAGCTGTACAGGAGCAGATTGCGTCGGTGGCACAGTTGTTAGGACGCTTGCCGACCATGCACATGGTTTGGAGTTCGATCCCCGGCCACAGATGCACTCTTTTACCTCGCTAAGCTAGAAATAATGCTGGTAAAGGGGGAAGGTTGGGCATGACACTAACAGCCCGATCCTGTAAAAATAAACACTGTTACAGAAACTTCAAGCCTCTAGCTTTGAGCCCTATGTTCCATTGGGAACGTGAAGGAAAAAAACATGCCTATTGCGTGAAGACTGGTGATAGTAATTGGCGGCTCAAACCATGACAAGTAAAGTGGGTGTTTTTGTAACTCGTTGCCTAGTAGTTAGAGGTTAAATGCATAGACCAAAATAGCCATAGAGCTTCAAACTTTCTATAATGTGAAATGAATGAATTAAACCAAGTTCACCTCTACAAACTGAGTCACACAACTGGTTATAATTTCTATAATAAAGTAATGAATAATGAACTCAGACTGCACAGAATGTAAGTCCAAGGCAACCATAGTTGACCACGCTCCACATAGATCGAATTCTACCACAACCACCATGTGTATCACGACATTCACACAACACACATGAGAATATAAATACACACTTGGGAGAAGAGTTAAGGAAATGTTGTTTTAAAATTTAGCAGTTAAAAACGAAAAGAAAATGTGGTTACAGGTCAATCAAACTCGTAAGGATTTCCAAATCCTTTATACATATAGTAAACATACAAAGGATTGAAAATTTACTACGACAATTTGCTGAAGCAATTGCAGTCAAGTGTATTGTCAATCTCTCACTCTCCTAACAACCGTATTACTTTGATTACATTGATTAATCATACACATTAGTCAGCTCAGCTCACCGAGGAAGTTTTCAATTAAATGAACTGTAAACTTTTTTGAGTTGCTATGTAGAAGTACAAGCTAAAACTGTCTACTAGATTTTTCTGTTTTCTGTCTTCTCCTCCCCTCCTTTTCTATTTTTAAAGTATATAAACTGTTGGTGACTAAAAAGTATTGTAATGTGTTCATTTCGGATGCGTTCATCTTATAATGTTTCCTCTACTACCATTGAAACATTGAAGTATGTCATTGTCATTATATTTATGACCATTGTAATTTCAGTTAGTGTTCTGGAGCTGATGAGAACCTGAGAAATATAGAACAACGGCATTTCATACTGCAAATCTGACCGTCCTTTCTTTATCGAAAAGAAAATAACTTCAACGCAAATGTCACTTTGCAGCATTTTAAAACGCCAAAAAGTCGTGACAAGTGGGGTTAACCAAGTTGCCGTTGACACTGACTGACTGTTGCGCAGTATTATATCACCAATTAGTAGAAGTTGGAATTCATGGACCATTGGACCGGGTTCTAGGGGCTGAATAGTCTACCAGTTCGCCTTGCAACCGAAAGGTGGTCCTAGGTTCGAACACCGGTGAAAGCATGCCAATGAAGAGTCTCAAACTGGAACGAAACACCTGGTTTCTCAATGGTTCTCTAATTGATGTCGGCTTGAGAGAACAAACCTGTAAACAATCAAATCCCTGGAAACCAACACTTAAGAACAACTAGAAATTGTTACAAAAGCCTAAAGAAATCTACGGTGGTATAAAAATGAAAAACGATGGGGTGATATCGACGAACTACGAAGACTCGTGAAAAGTTACTTCACAGTGAGATTTGATTATTCACAACGTTAGAGAGAGAGAAAGAGAAAAAGAAACTTACTGCATCAGTACTGGAATCTGCATTTTGTGTATCAAAGTCACTGGAAACAGGGAAAAATCCAATAGTACGACCTTTCAAATCACGTTTCGCGCCAGTGATTGAAGGGTGGTGGTTTTGATCAGAATTTACACAGGACGGTGGTACTGATGAATTCAAGGGTTGTGGAATATGAGGAAATGTACCGTTAATCGGCGGTATTAATGGGATTGGATTCATTTGAGGAATGTAGTACACTGGTGTAGAAGAATTTAAAAATGGAGCACGATTAAGACTTGGTAAGATATAACCTTCAGGCGTGTGTATTGCAGAAGCTGTAGGTATTATTGTATATGACAGTGGACCAGGAAGCGAAGGATGACCATATTGGAAACAGGAGTCTAAATTACAACAACAATAACAACACACAAAAAACACAAACAAATCCATATAGACTTTTGCCTAGATTAAATATCTCATTCTGTAAAACCTCAACAAGGAATTATTAGCAGGGTACACTGAAACTTATGGAAATAAAACAAATCATAGGGTGCAGGAGGTCGGGTGTGAGGACAAATACTCGCCGAAGACATTGGCTAGGGGTCGTTTATTGGCAGAAGTTAGAATTTATGGGCCACTGGATGGGGCCCCAGTGGCTTAATGGTATATGAGCTCGCCTTGTAACCTGAGGGTCTTGGGTTCGAACCCTGTCGGTGGGTGCGTACTGCTAAAGAGTCCCAAACTAGGACGAAACAGCTGTCCAGTACTCCAGTCGTTGTTTTCTAATGGTTCTCTAACTATTATCAGCTCATGATGAAATACTGCAACCAATCAAATCCCTACAAACCAAACCAACACTTGAAAATCATAAGTAAGTTGACAATAACTTCTACTTATACACAACGCGATAAGAACGAGTAAATTTTGTATGTACATTAAAACCACACATTGTGGTAAGTACCTGACGTGTTTCACATTCGATGGTCCTAGTGTTGGGCAAAAAATAGTGAGATTCAATGAATTACGTCATATCGACGGATCTGTTGCTTCAACACTTTATGAAGTGTTGACAACTATCACCTACTAAATGATAGTTCACGAAAAGAAATCAAGGAATCAGGTGTAAATTTATGCACTGGGCGATGAGCAACAGACTGACAGAATTCTAAAGCAAGTGCTTGTTTGAAAGTTCTCCCCTACCCCAATCGAGCCGCTGACCTACTCTGATGCACAAAGTGAGACAGAGTCAGGGGCTGTGTTGTCATGGTTGTCACTGACCAAAGCAGGTGTATATGCCATTCATTCCTTAGAGATTCTGGAGTACATGTGCCCCATATGGTTTGGAACCAAGGTTTACCAGTTCGCCTACGTGGACCAACAATGTCCACCAGTGCTAGATGTTTGCATTTAACCTTTAACTTTTGTAACACACCAGCTGCTTGAAGGCAATGAATAGGCGTTACATGGCAGATGCTATGAACGAGTGAACACATGACAAAATTCCCAGAGGATGACCGAAGTCTATCAGCCGTCGATCGTAGCAATTAGCCTGTGCAGTTGGTGATTGTTACTAATCACTACGTTATAAAGTCATGCCAATGTCTGAATGCATTTTGATAAGTGAGATAAGGTTGAAGCTCTTAATATATCAGTTGATAGTAAATCACCTTGATCATTGTGACACTGCTGCTCAGTCTAACATAAATACTATTCTAAATTATTTTTTGTGCACTTAGTTGAACATAAAGCCTTTACGGACCGACTAGATATGGAACTTGATTCTCTGCTCTTACTTCCAGCTGCTAGCTGCACGACTGTCAACAAGCTTGCGTTTCCTAGTAACATGATCTCTCTATCAGACTCGGACCTGTTGTCTACCTCACTGATTCCACTAGAAGGTCTGACGTGTGATGTCGCCCAACGATCTCCATAGTATATGTCTAATCCATCTTCATTCCATTCTGAATACATGTCGGATAACATATTTCCTAACCAGTTCACTGCCAGAGTTCTTTGGCATTATTCTCACCAGAGGCTGGTTGCTTATGGAAGTGATCTCTATAACAAACTGGTGAAAATGCCTTTGCTAATGCGCATGCTAACGTCTGTGAGTTATGTACACAGCAGTGAATATGGTATTGGCGTTAACAATTCGGATGTTGTTCCTTGTGTGCCAAGTGTGCTGCAGGTTCCACACTGATTTCACATAGTCATGAACACGCTTGTCTTGTTGGTACAATCGTGGTTGGCCTGGACATCCTTAACATCCTTGTACATTCACCTCCTATTCATTGTGATTTTTTAAAATTTCTTTGGGTTCTCAGTGGAACATAGGGCTTCAAGTTCTGGTAGCATGCCCAACCTTTCCTCTTTACCAGTCTGAGTACTGGCTTAGTGAGGTAAAGGAGTACTTCGGCCAGGGATCGAACCCTGAGCCGCATGCATGATTGGTGAGTATTCCATAGCTGTGCCGCCGCCGACACACTCATTTATTTTAGTGATAGGTGTTCGTTATTAGTCAGAGTTTAATCTTTATCCCCTCTGTCTTCTCTAATATTCACCTGAAGTCCTGTTTTTTTGCGTTGCATCTTTTATCAGTTTGCTTTTTTAAAACCGAAATGTACTCACAAGATGCAGAGATTAAAAAGTGATGGAAGAGCAGCTACTAGACATGACCAGGAATAAACCTTCTCCTTACTTTGGTAGTAGTGTCTGCATGTACACACGTAAACAAAGTGAATATCGACAATTCATGCTTAACAATAAAAAAAACCAATTTACCTGTATACAAAAGAGGGGTGGCTGATGGCATTGAAATAGTAGTAGGGTGGACAGAGATATCAGAAGATATACATGTATCGAACTGTACAAGAGAAGTGTTGTTAGCAGTACATGTGATAATAGTTGAAGTGTCAGTAATAGACACAATAGTTGTAGTAGATGATACTACTGCTACTGCTACGCCATCATCTGTACATGGGACAGTTGTAGTAGCATCACTACAAGTTATTTCTGTTTCTTTATTGGATTTCATTGCTACATTGGGTTCCTGTAAATGTGTGTGCGTGTGTGTGTGTGAGGACAAAGAAAACAAATAAAAAAGCCATTAAAATAAACAGTTTAAAAAATGGTAAGACATTCAAAAAATGCAATTGAATGTGAAGGTAGACGCCGATGGTTCAATATCCAGGTGGAAGGTGTGAGCTCGTTTCTTAACTGATGCACTCGACTAGATGGTAGTCAGAGGTGTTCAAACCAAAACATGGCTTCATCAATCAATGAAATCCACAACAGTTAGTTTAAGTGCGTCGGTGGCACAGTGGTTAGGACTCTCGCTGACCATGCATGTGGTCCGAGGTTCGATCCCCTGCCGACGCACACCTGATATCTATGGTCGGCCTGCAAAATTTGGGCTACCGATATCCATGCTGAAAATTCCATACTTGTACCAAAAATACAGTGTGGAATCAAGCTGTAAATCAAAAATAAAAAAATAAAAATAAGCCGGCCAACCATGTAGGGAGGTGTAAACTTCCTGACTGGTTGGGGTCCTCAGGATGGTAAGGACCAATGATGGTAGGAGACAACTATTGATATGGCTCCAAATCGTTGCAAATGTCTGGCACAGATGGATTCACTCTTTGTGATTTATCAATATCCAGTTAAACTCGACTGTTTTTCCATATTTCTATTCTTTTCGCCTTATATTTCTGCCCGTTATCTCTGTTTTGAATTTCTCTTTACATGGAGTGTGGCAACTCGAACTGCTGGACATCTGTGCGTAGTCCTAGGATGAAAGCAGTCAGTTAGACGGTAGCAGTGAGCTTTAAAAAAGAGGTAAAATTGAGCGTGACTCCAGCAACTCTCTCCCCGTGGGAGTGACTTTAGAGGTACTGAAACTTCAAAGTTTAAAGCCGTACGTTCCACCATTCGGAACGTAATCGACTAAAAGCAAATCCCTTTCCACATCAACCTTGAATGTAAATTTATTAAGTGAAGTAGATTCCCTAGTGAATATAAGGGGATAGAATATACAAGATACAATTGTTTAAATGAACACATTTCACTGTTGACAACACATACCGTTAAATTAGATTCACAGTGAACTTGAGATTCTTCAATCGCTTTGCATAGATCATCAATGAGAGTTTCAATGCTTTTCTCCACGGAACTATCAGTACCTGTTGAACTGCCACGACAGAAAAAGCAAACAAAAAAGAAAGAAATCTAACTGTCACAGTTAAACGCCTAAATATGTTAGTGAATTATACCAGATACCTCTGTACATACGAAACAGTCTTTAATGCAGTTGTCACCTTCAAAATACTAGTCGTTGTATTGGTCCAACATACTGTTATTGCCTCTGGACACATATATCTGAGATATTTTGTCGTTATTCCAAAGCGTATGATTCAATTCAACACAACTGAGTCAAAAATCAAAAATATTTCAGCTAACTACATCTGTTGTGGTGCGGCGTAATGATAACGGCTGTATAAAACCATTCTAATCACTTTATGAAAGAGAAACATCACCTACTTCGAGGGTGAGCGACCTTCACACCTTTCTAATATCATCAGCCATCACAGCCTGTTTTCTTCCATGTCATCATAAATTCATCGTATCTTCAACTGCTTTTGCCTCTGAGATCCATTATAAACATGATACTCGACAGTCAAGCACTTACATTCCCACAGATTTGATGGCAATGAGCAACATCTATTTTACGACGGCTGGCTAGTGATGCCACGCGGTTGCCCAAACCCCATTGAGTTGAGCATGATTTCGATCTGAAACCCTAGACCGATGGGCCACAACAGCTCAACAACCCATTTTGAGTTTATTGTATAGGATACACACATAGTTACTTGAAATTTTTCTCTACACTACACACACTGGACCTTCAAGCGTTTGGATAACTTAGGCATGAAATGTCTAATTGAGGTATCCACATTTATTCTAGTAGAAAAATGACCAAGGCACTTTAACCGACTGACTGCTAGAGTGGTATACAGAAACGATTTGGTCACTACTTGTCATTAGGTTGCACTTGACTGGGACGAGATGACAGCACAGATTATGCTTGGCATTTTCAGGTGGGATAAATAATAGGATGAGTAATGTTGAGGTCAGGCATAGGTCGAGTGCTAGGTAAGTAGGGAAAATCAACCGACAATGTTGTGAGGCTACACTGACTGAGATAAACAGGACATGTGCTATTCATGCCTATCCATTGCTTTTCTTGACGAGCAATGTTACCTGACATAAGATCAGATTGGAAAAGAGCTAGTAAGTGGTCAAACGAAAACATCAGTTCATCAGTCAATGAAATTTATAACAGTTGTTTTAAACCAGTCAGTGAAGTAGGGAGGTGTAGACTTCCTTACTGGTTGGAGTCCTCGGGATGATAAGAACCAATGAAGGCTGGAGATAATTGGTAGTGATATGGCGATGTCACTGCAGGTGGGGAGATGCATTCACTCTGTGATTTATCATATCCAATGAAACTCTATTGTTCTTCCATGTTACAATTCTTTTCCTGCATACTTCTGTTTATTATGTCTATGTCTAGCTTCTCTTGCTCAGTGTGCTACATGGAGTTTGGCAACTCAGACCGCTGAACATCTGTGCAAAGTTCTATGCTGAAACCAGTCAGTCAGTCAGTCATTTTCAGAATGAGGTTGAAGTAATGTGAAATGGGGTTCAGAAATAACTATGTAAGGCGTGACCAACTGGTTAGACTACAGCATAGGGCAGTGCACGAAAACTAAGTGATAGCCACAATTTGGTTGGTTTGAACTGTCAACTCGTCCTGTCTTCACGGAAGGAGAAAGTGTCGCTGTTGATAACAGAAGCACTGGATTGATCCACATCCGTTTTTTTGACATATTATAATAATTTTTAATCACCGTGATCTCAGAGAAACAAGTCGCGTTTTCAGGTCATTAGTATATCATAAGGATCTTTACACTGTAACAAATTCTACAACAAAAGTGCGGCGAATACTATCTGCTTCTGATTGAGAACCTTCAATCAGTTCAATAAATTGTGCAAGTCAGTGTGGAATGTTTGTCGGCCGCACTATCTCACTGAAGACTACAGAGTTATTATAAACCGTAATGAGCGATTACTTGGGATATCTGCGTCAATATCCAGCATTTTTGCTCTTGGTGTTAAGCGGCTTTAACCCTTTTGGTGCGTCTGTGGTTCAGCGGTAGAATGTTCGCCAACCATGCATGTGGTACGAGGTTCGATTCCCGGCCGGTGAACATTTTTACCTCTTCTAGCCGGTTGTAAGGCAGACAAAGAGGAAAGGAAAATAAACACCACTGCTGCTGAAACTTTTCAGCTCAAGACTGAAGAAGCCCTATGTTCCACTGAGAACACAGTGGGAACGAAAGAAGCATCTGGTACTTGACTTATCTTGCGTCGGTCCATATAGCCAGTGATAAAACACCTAAATACAGACACCGCTTTAAACAAGCCGTATATGTGTGACCAACTTTAAGCAGTTGTCCCTCGGACTCCCGTAGCAGTCACTCTGCAACACACTAATATTATGCTCCATCTGTTTTCAAGTACCCTAAGAAAAAACCAACTTTCATCGGGTGTAGGCAGCAGCCAGGAAGTAATGGCCATCCCTAGAAACTTCCATAAGCACATAAAGCTTTGCTGAATATCAACAACTACCACTTACTAGAAATATACATTTTTCACGCTTGTTAAATGTACAGACCACGTGAACAGTTTTAGACAAAATAGGAAAATCAATCGATGGCAGTGTAATTCTTCGCCAGTGGAGGTGGCTGTGATCACGAAGGCGTTACTCCGCTCAGTCTATTCACACTGTAAAATGTTACCATCTGAAGTAAACACTTGTTTGAGAAAAAACTGCGGAGGATAAAACTAGGACAACAATTTACGGGGAGACTAAAATCGATAATCTCTTTTACACCTCTCAGAACTGTGTAGAAATTCCAACTACACCTTAGTTGATTTCTCAGCGAACGAATGGGTGACTAAAACTGTTGAAAGAGAAATTAAACAAAGATAGAAAATCTGAATCATCCGCAAAGCAGACAGTCAGACAAGTCAACTTACTCGCTTAGAACTTTAGTGGCCTGTAAAGGTTCTGAACTTTCTTTCCTTGAGTTTTCACCCAGATTATCAGAGCTAATCATTAGGTCATGCGATGTATTCGGAGCAATCACCATCAAACAAGAGAGCATAGCATCGTCTAAATCATCCTCCGAGTTAGTAGACGATGTCCTTGTTCGACACTAAAAACAGATGCAGGTAAAAATGTGAGTTATCCAATCGGTATTACATTAAATATTTTAGATTTTTTTAAAAATCTAATACAACACAGGCTTAAGTCCACATAAGAAACTACACCATTAGTTAAGAGGTGAGTCACAAAAGTCCCGAGAATATATTTGCATTTAGAATTTTTGTTATCATTATATTATTGTTCCTTTGGGTTCCTGGTGGAACATTAGGCCTCAACAACATGTTTCCACTTTGTTCTACTTTCTGCAGTCCTCTTTAGCTGGATCCACGATTGCCCATAATCTCTCATCGCCTTCATGTCACCCTCGCGCTCATGCCCAACTCATCGTTTCCCATTCGGGTTCCACTCCAGCGATGGCCTGCCTGGCGTGCGATGTCATTTGACGGTCACTTCAGAATGTGTTCAATCCATCTCCATACTCTTCTACATATTATTGAGTGATAGGCTCTTGGTAGGTTTGTTCCCAGAGTTTCCTGTTGATAATCCCTTCGGGTCAGCCATCTGATCTGCAGTATGGAGCCGCCAGCGAAGACAGCTGTCAATAAAAGTCTGCGGTATCCTGTTGGAAATGATTTTCGTGATGCGCACGTCAAGTTTTGTGACCCATAAAAAAATATATGACTTACGCTTACTTATTATCACCAAGAAAAACTTGGCACATTATGGGCAACAAGAGATGCCTCTCATAGTCGATGACGGGACTGGGTTACTACCCGCATGATCAAACTAAACCAGGTAGTTGCCTTAAGAATTCCGCGCCTCTGACTTGAAGTTTGATAAACAAACCAGTACAGCAGGGTGTCAAGAGCTACATTCCCATGGTTTTCGGTGACCGAAACGGGTTTTCACACACGGCATTCAATCCTTTCGGAGTCTGAAACCCATATATACCATAGACTTGAAGACAGGGTTTTACAGCTCGCTTAAGTAAATCTGCATATTCCCCGGTCCGGTTGAGGGAGCCAAACGTTCGTATTCGCCTTCCACTTCTTTTGAGCAATACCCATAAGTTGCATGAAGATAGTGAAATTCAAATAATAAACTGTTTATTACACTCCATATTTTTAACTTATTGCAAAGGGTAATTACAGACACTACTTCTAGATGTTCATCATTCAGTTAAACTTTCCATTTCCATATTTAGTGACAATATTATGTCAAGTAATAGCTAACGTCACCGGTGAGTATTCGTTTTCTCACACTCAACCTGGCGGACTGCACTGGTCAGTCACTGACGAGCGTTAGATGGCATTAACAGTCGGCTGTGCTACATACCATGAATCAGCAAGAATTAGACGTCATGGCTTAGTGGAGTCCATCCTAGTGGCTGAACAGAACAGACTTACCTTGTTACCTAAAAGTTTTGCGCTCGTTTACATGTGGGGTCATGAACGTGAACTACTGACGAAACATTTGACCAATAAATCCTGATCTTCAACGGTTATCTAACTGAAGTCAGTTCTTGATCTGAGTCAAAACCAATCAGATTTCTGCAAACCAACAACACTTCAAGACAAAATTATCTTTTCTAGCTCACAATATAAACGACAAATAATACTGAGTCCTATATGTTTATGTCCACTTATAAGACCGTAAGAAGCTTGATGAGAATGTGAGTTTTTCCGGTTAAACAATTCAAGTTTTATTTGAATACCTCTTGAACAACATAGATCAAGGCAAACAAGTGTAATGAACTTTGGAGTTTATAGGCTTTGAGACCTGGTTTTCAGCCTTGATAGGTCATAGTTTCGAGTCAAGTCAAGCAAACGCCACGTACTTCAGACTTGGGCAACTTGACCAGTATTATCGGCCTTTCACACAATGAGTATGGCTTTTAACCTAGCAAAATAAATCCCCTCCATTCTAGATAACTGAATTCAATAATTTCAGTGAAAATTACTCAAAAACATTGATGAGATGAAAAATATTGGAAAAATTGCTCAACTACAAACAACGTCAGGTCGGTCAGTTAACTCATAATTTGAAGCTTACATGCGTAGTTGGTGGATACATTTCACATTCTGAATAACTTGATCGAGTGTGTTTTACCGGTGAAGAAGTAGAATACAATGATGCTTTGTTACGACATTCACTTGAAAAACAAAAGTTCAAATCTTCTTGAGCTGAGGTGGTGGGTGTGGTTTCATCTGAAGGTTTTACAGGTTCTAGAGATAAAATAAAAGAAAGATTAAGGCGTAACCGAATAAATGGAAAGCGAATTTATTTTGTACATTTCGATACACCAAAAAATCTCCAATAAAAGTGAGTCTAGATACTGATGGGGCAATGCTTACATAAGCTGGGATTTGAATCAAAGGTTGGGAGGATCATCTGAATTCTGTACACAGAATCTGTTATTATTTGAAATTACAATTACGCAATCAGCACTTTGAAACTTGCATTAGAGGTGAGAACACTTACGATGTGTGTTACCGGATTGATAGTGGTTCCTCAACGGAATCCAAGATGTACGATTTTATTCCATTTAAGAGTCATTGTCTTGATGTACCTTGGTCCCCAGGGCCAAAGCATAAACCACTAGGGGTCACGGGATTAGTTCAACAAACATTTGGTGTATATACACCGAACGTAAGAGAATAATCATGGTTCAGATAAGAAAGCACTATACAAGAACCACAGCCTGTATTAGTGATGCCTAACCAATAATGATTTATCGCAGTTTAGTGATGGCCGCACACCATGGCATCAGAAAATATGCTACAATACATGCACAGAAGTGTAAACTGCCTCCACTCATATTGAGTAAAATTTAACAACTGTCATAGTATATTACGCACGTTTGGCTGCGCTTACCGTGACGTGGCAGTCCACTTTACAAAGGCTTGACGAGCTACACTGGCTGGAAAAGAGGTTGTTTTAGGTCCTATCATACCAGAAAGGTTATTTGGATAGCGGTCACACTATAAGCTGATACTATCACAGTGTAAGTTGTTCACACTATGCTAGGGGTGGCGATGAAGTCAAACTGTTGGAGGTTGGAGGTGTAACAGCAGTAAGGTATTTCCCCTACACAACAAAAAAGCCATCTATACTGTCTCTCCACCCTAGAGATACGAGGTCAGAAGGGATCGACCGCGAAAACTGCACATCCCCACTTACCTTGCAGCGACCTGTAGGTAACAACAAAGTTTCTTAATTCAAAAAACTACTTTGAACAGGATGTGTGTGGTCGGTCTTAAGCAGCTGTCACACAACACTAATGTCTCTCCTGTCTCAGTTACTTCAAGGAGAAATTACTAATTTTTATACAAGCACACAAAGCCTTCCATATTACACACACACACACACACCTGTACAGTACTACGTGTAGCATATGGATCTGTTATGGTATATACGCACACAAAAACGATCTAACATGGCACCCCCTCCAGTATACTCACCAGGGAAATTGCCAGCAAAGCTATACAAAAATTATCGATTTCCATCAGCCAAATAAATAGCAAATTCAACTTTAAAATTAAGAAAGGTAAGCTGCCACTCTCTTTCCCCTCGGAATTTTCTCAGTTTAAGTCACAATTCTTAGGCGAACCAAATCAGGTACGCACTGATAATAGGTTTCTTTCAAAGCTAGTAAAATGGTCGCTACAAAACGGTTAGTTTTAAAGAGCTACAATTATAGCCAGTAGCGCTTATCGTACAGCTTTTGTGATCACTTTGGTTGTTGGTTAATAATAGGTGTTTGACCCGGCCGTTGACAAAGTTTCTTACTGCTTACCTTTTCTGATCAGCCGTCTACTCTTCAGTAAATCGACCAGAAGCAGCGACTGATGAAAGTCCGCAGTAACCTCTTGGAAATACTTTTGAAGATGCGTGTAGCAATCCTTTGCACCATGTAGTCGAAGTCACTTGATATTAACTTCTAAACAAAGCACAGATTTTGTAGCTTTTTTGTTCACTTTATTTGCGCTGGTCTGCATATTGTACTGGTTAAACACTGTTATCGGAACACTTTACAGTTTGCACAAATGATGATGGGATCACAAAGACGGATTGAACCTCGTTGTTTCCATCAAAGACTGAGAATCTATCAAACAAAATCACTTTAAAGTTACATCATTATTATTACTTCCTTTAATTCCTAGAGGAACACAGGGCTTCAGCCGCACGTCTCCATTGCGTTCGGTTCTCTGCTAAAGCGTTCACATGGCTGCAAGTCTACCCACATGCTATCATCTCCTTTTCACATCACCTCCTCCAAGTTACCCTTGAACGACCAACTCCCCGTTTCCCTTTCGTGTTCCATATGAGGGCTTGTCTAGTGATGTCATTTGATGGTTTGTTTTCACAGAGTATGGCCAATCCATCTCCATTTCTTCCTGCCTATTTGTTGCAGAATCGGTTCCTAGTTGGTTCGCTCCCAGAGATCTCTGTTGCAGATCTTTTCTGACCGGCCATCTGATCTTGAGTATTGAGCGAAGACAGCTGTTAATAAAGGTCTAGTTTGTTGGAGATGCTCTTTATGACTCGCCAAGTCTCTGATCCGTATAGTAGCACTGACTTTACATTGGAGTTGAAAATCCGGATCTTATTTTTGATGCTGAGTGCTGTTGACCTCCACACAGATTTGAGAGTAATGAAAGCTTGTCTTGCTTTTCCGATTCTGGCTTTGATATCCTCGTCAGTTGCACGTGTAGTTGAAACGATGCTTCTCAGGTAGGAGTGTAGGTGAAGGAGGTTGTTTTTTTCAGGTTCCTCCCATTTATGCTGATTGTTGTCTGTTGTTGTTGCTGCTGTGGCTGTTGGCCAGGAATCTTCATCACCTCTGTTTTATCTATGTTCACTTGAAGTCCTATCGTTGATGCTTCTTCCACTGTCGACTTGTTGCTTTTCACTTGCATATCTTCCAGTTTATGGGAAATCAGACATATATCATCGGCGAAGTCCAAATCCTTCAAGTCTCTTTTTGTGTGGGTCCATTTTATTCCTGTTTCCTCGTCGCCCGCTGTCTGTCGCATTATCCAATTTACTGCAATCAGGAAAATCACTGGAGACAGAAAGTTACATCAGGAACACATCAAATTGTGTACATTTCCACATTTGACATGACTAGCCTTCAACCTATAGAGTGAAGTATACAAGAAGCAATGTATTGACATGGCACTCACTCAATATCTTGGTTCATTTCTCGGGTGTTAATCAATTTTCGCTCTATGTGTGTGTGTCAATCAGGTACTCCTCTCTATCTGATGAAGGCTGACCACAAGGTACACAAGTCAAACAAACAAACAAACGAAAAGGTATGCAGCAGTACAACAGAATATTTATCCATCTGGTTGATTTTTGTTAATCAACGAAAAGAAAAATCGTCTTTAAGATCACACGTAACCATAAATTATAAAAGCTAAATCAGAGATTGATTAACTTGACACAATAGAATAATAATATTTTGAATAAATCAAAAAACTGTCAATTCTCACCTGACTGATTCGAGTTGACCATTGTTTGAGATGGAATAAATTCAGGAGCATCTGGATTTAAACCACCTGTACTATTTTTAGCATCAGTTCGAAATTTATCGTGCGAAACAGAAGGAATTGGCCATATTGATGGATTATTTTTACACCGAACTCGAGCATTCGGTACATCAACGTCTAACAAAGGACTGACTCTGATTGCCTAATAATAATGAAGAGAGTAGAATAAGAGGAAAAACATTCAAAACAGTGCTCATTCCACACACACACACACACACACACGCGTCCCAAAAAGACATACAAATGCTAATTCTATACAACAATTTTCGACATACGAACTCTACATATAGACGACTAAAAGTATATTCTATTACAAATATCTTTTAACCGAAACATGAAATGCAATAAGTGTTCCCATTGAGCTGCGTACAGTAAAAGCAAGGTAGGAGTTCGACTGGACACCTACTTCAGAAGAACAATGAATAACACAGAGAAATGTATGAAAGGTCGGAAAAGTCAAACATAGAGTGAGATTAGCGCTTGGTTGCCCTACGTTCTCTTCAATTAATACATAGAAGCCACACAAAATAGACATTTCGACTAGCGTCGTCAGAAAGTTTCTGGAATTTACCTTATCGTCATCATCACTGCTTCACATAGTTTCGATTAATTTTTTCAGCGTCTTCGGTATTATTACTATTTATTTTAACGGGATAGGGTTGCCAGTTTTATGCCCAACCTTCCCTCTTTACCAGTTTTATTACTAGCTTAGCGAGGTAAAGGAGTCAGTCCGCCGGCGATCGAAGTCCAAACCACATGTGTGGTTGTCGAGCCATTTTACCACCGTGCCACTGACGCACTAGCATCTTCAGTAGCCCCATTATAATACACGTCAACAACACTTTAGGAAGCAACTTCTTCAATGGGTCAAAGAGGTTGCGAGTATGCCCTAGTGCTGATAACTTCCTCGTATGGCTCACAAGCAGCTTTCACTGATTCTGGAACATTCCATTCTAAAACTTAGGGAAAGTTGTCATCTGAAGTAGTAAAAACTGGTGGAGTTTATCACTGATGCCTACTGATAGCGATTTTATTTTTTGTTACAAACGCACTACTACTGGTGACTGTTTCGGTTTGGTGTTTCAAGAAAGTCTGTCTGTCTGTCTGTTTTCGACATAGAACTTTGCACAAACGTGCGGAAGTCCAAGTCGCCACATTCCGTGTAGCACGCGAAGCAAGAGAAGAAAGTACAAGAAAAGCATAATAGAAACAGTGAGCAGAGGTGTGAGACAAAGGAGTAATAAAGAAATACAAAACAGTTCCATTGGAGATCATAAGTCACAGGGAGTGGATGCATCTGCGCCACTGAAAACGGTTTTGACCCATGTCACCAATTGTTTCCAACCATAGATTTTTACCGTCCCGAGGACCCCAGCCTGCAAGTCTACACCTTTCTACGTGGCTTAGACCAACTGTTGTGTATTTCATTGACTGATGAAGCCATGTTTTGTTTTGACGCTGCTAGCTCTCTTCCAGTCTGACCCTATATCCGCTAACATAGCTCGTCGAGGGAGGCGATGGCTTGGCATACGTAACACATGTCCTAATCAAGAAAGGATATGGTTGACGTGATTTTTCCAGGTGATGACGCTGATAAAAAACTGTGTTCTGAGCGCTGAAGTGAAACTTTAGCATGTTTTACACATGCCAGAAGTAAGATTGTGCTATAGAGTTTATTTGCACTTTTACTTGAAGGGGGTTATTGGTTGCTAATCAGAGTTTTAGCAACGATACACAAGGCTGGTTTAGCAGCTAATAACTTACATCATTTATGATGTCAGAGTAGTAGCTGGCTACTTCAACCGAAGGGTGTTATGGAACAGTTCAGTCTATCCTCCTTTAGGGACGTGGGATACCATAAGTAAAGTAGATGTGGTGAAATCAGAGGGTTTCAGCTATAGGTACCCACGTTTAATTATTCCTTTTAGACATAGCATAACAGGTAATACTAGTACTCAAGGTAGAGAAAAAGTGAAGATCAGTCATTGGGATTTTAAAGCTACATCAATGGTGGTTGCTGTATGTGTTACGGATATCCAACTACCACCTGCCTCAATGAGCAATAATGCTTATTTTATTTGGTAAACAGCATAAGCCCTAATGGACTGAATGGTTACCAAACCCCAGCATGCATACAAATAGCTTCTCTGCCATTTGTCAACTTCCGTTACCACTGGCGCTATCCATTAGTTAGAGGACACGTGTACTACGCTAAAGTTCTTCACGATTGTGAAACGAGGCAGTTGAAAGTGGAAAGCTTGAAGAGGCTAGCTGTCTCTGACAACAGACATTAACGTCCTAACTCTCCCATGCCAAGTAATATATAGTAATATTGAGACTAGGCGTAGGACGTTAAGGAGAGAAAGTTAACCAATAAGTACGTACCCACCCTGGGGGTCACACAATGATACATCCATTGACTGGGCATTGGTTTTCAGGAGAACCGGATATACCTACCCCTCCTCTTGCGAGAGGAGACAAGCATACAGTATCATCGAGAGCTCTCTACCCTGGTGGACGCGTACTGGTGAAGAGCTCCAAACTAGGACGAAACAGCTCTCCGGTATTCCCAGTTGGTTATCCAGCTGATGTCAGCTCATGACAAAATCTTGTAACCAATCAAATTCCATGCAAATCAACACCTGAATATCAACTAATAAGTTTATGGAACTACACTGAGATGACTGGCACATGTACTACGCACACTGAGCCATCACCAGTCGTCAACGAGAAATGTTAGCTGGCATAGGATTAGGTTGGAAGACTAATGACCATTTTGTGATGTTTCTGAATACTCCTTTGAACCATCAACCTGGTTAGAGTCCTCCAGATTCCAGTAACCAATGAACGGAGGCTGTTGGTGGCATGGCTCAGATGTATTCATTCTTTATAAACTCCTACATCCATCAAATTCTCTTCATTTTGCATGTAAATGTTTCTTCTTCCGTGCCTTTTCGTTTACTGTCATCTTTTAATTCCTTTTTGCCCCTAATTGTGTATGTCTACTTTTAAAACTCAGGATGTTAAGCATCAAAAACTGCAGACTTTATCCAAGGATTGAAAGCGGTCAGCAATGACAGAGAAGTGTGTGTCCAGAGTTTTGCCCCCTCCCCTAACCTTCTTTTAGTTAGTTTGCTAGCTATACACCTACATTTGCCTTCTGTGATGAAACCAGATTTCTGTTCTCTTCTTCTGCGTGCCTGTTAGAATTAATGTAAATCTTCCTAAGGTTCTGCCTCAATCTGTCAAGCAAAGTCTTGAAATCTATGCCTGACACAAAGGCTTATTATAGTTTGGTCAGTAGGACAAAATATCATTTGGACGACATCGATAGAAAATTATGCAACAAACTTTCATATAGTTTTATACAGGAACAAACATTTAAGAACATACCTCTAGAATATCATTTAGATCTTTACATACAGACGCCACTCGATTGAATTTAGCGATTACATTAACATCCACCCAACCATCAGAATCCATCTGACGACGAAGATAGATATCTCTAGCTAGATTATCTGCACTGAAATAGAATTCCACTTGATGCAGTATCTGATGACGAATGAGAACTGTAGGATCACTGCTTGAAGATGCCAGAAAACACAAGTTGGCTGGTTGAGCAATAGTTGTCCCCGGAAATAGTGATGTAAAAACATTGTTTAATGCAGGAGCTGCATTTATTGATACTAGTGGGGTTGTACAAAATTGAGAAAGTAAACAATTCTGTTGTTCTGAAGAATCAGTCGGTCTTGATTGTGATGCCGGATCTGACGGATCAACGGGCATATTGGATTGCTGGCTAGCAACAGAAGCGGCGGCGGCGGCAGCAGCAGCAGCAGCACAGTAGTCGTAGATAGGATCAGAAGCTCCAGAAACTGTTGGTGTTGCCACAGGTGTTGTAGGGTAAATCATCAATAGTGGGTATCCAACAGCTGAAACTAGAGAAACAAAAGAACATGACATGGGAGTTAACTAACTGAACCATATATTCCTAAAACTACTTATTTGACTTACTCTTGATATATGTAATGACTGACTCTTGATGTGGACTGAACAGTGAGCAAATCTAATCACACATACGTAATAGCAGTCAAGGAGCGTATGCGCTTTCCCGTGATGTTATTGCTTAAACGTAACTAAGAACGAGTTTTACCAGAAAGTAAACATCCTTTTAATTCTGTAAATCCAAGTATATGCCTCAAAGAACTTTCTACAGCAAAATCCAACCATCTGTGTCCGCAGGTACCTTAGTGGCTTCCTACTATAAGCAAAGTCAATGTCGACCGCAACTACTACCTTCCTCCACGGGGGAGGGTGGGAATTTGTTTGACAATAATTTAGACAGTTTCTAAGAAGTATGTTTGTGAAGTATATCTTTGATTAGACTTTTGAATAAAAAAAACATCAGATTATTTATCTTACTATCCTGAAGTTGGACTTTAAATTACTGGGTCATAGGTTTGAACTCTGCTCTGTCACAGGCAGTTTCGTCAGCAATTGTTCACTATATATATGCAGGAGCTACGTCTTCAAGGCTGTTTTATTGTAATATCACCACATTATTTATTTGTCTGTTACCTATTGTGTCTCAAACACTATTCTTCGTCTTGCTTTCCAGACCACTGCTAGATGTATCCAATAATATTTCGTAAATAAATCAAGTTTCATTTTTGCGTTCAAATGACGCATACTCAATAGCACATGCTACAATAAGACAGAAACTGTATTTCAGTATAATCTCGTAAAACTGTTTGTGTGGTGTCTTCAGCATATTTCATGAATAACGCAGTCACACTGAGTCCGATGACTATGTGCGACTGCTAGCGCGTCGAAACATCTGGTATTTGCTGTGCAGTAATCCTGCTTATCACACGTTACACATCACATCAAGATAAAGACAGAAAAACGAAAATAAAACGACCAACCGTGAAACTCCCAATGATAAAGACAAAAAAAGGATAAAAATATGCAATGACAAAGAAATTAGCATCAGAAAGCACCTACACAAAGATGTATTCTCGATCAAGTAACCTATAGTACTTAACCATCCGTCTTAATTATCTCGTCTCTTACAAGATAAACCACCCTTTACAGTTGACAATGAAGAACAACTAGTATCAAGGTTTCATTTTAGACGAAAAAACCTCATTAAAACGCTCAAGTAGGGAAATTGTGTCAATCTGAGGATGTCGGTGGCACCTATGGAGTTCCATGCCAGCGAACCGACAACGGTGACCGTCTCCTACAGTTCTGTTCTGATAATCATTTGTTTCTTGTAAGCACTAACTTCAAACACAAGGAGAGACACTGTTTGACTTGGAGACTTCCTTCATCAAACCAACGCTGGACACAAATAGACCACATAGCAATAAGCTATCGTTGGCGTGGGTCGGTAGGAGATTGTCGCTCCTTTTGGAACACGTGTGTAGATACCGACCATGCACTGGTCCGCGCTCGGGTGTGCTTACGACTGAACGGACGTAGGAAACAGCTGGCGGTAAAACCATCACGTCCCCAGCTCGATCAGGAAACTAAATCCCTATTTGAGGAAGAACTAGCTAAACACATATCTGTGTTCGACAGCTGTGCTCACCCTGAGGAACTTTGGAAGAATATTCAGTCAGCCATAGATACAGCTGTAAAAGCTGTGAATAAGGTAAACCCAAAGGTGAGTAAAAACCACTGGATCTCCACCGCCTCATCCGAACTGATAGATGCTAGAAGACTTATTCCGGCGAGCTCCGAATTCAATGAGGAGCGAAAGCTGCACAAGAGGAAACTTACGAAAAGTCTCCGCAAGGACCGTGAACAGTGGTGGATGACAAAAGCGAAAGAGATGGAGAAAGCTTCGAGGATAGGCAACACCAGGCAACTATTTAGACTCATCAGGGAAACGGGTGGGAGAAGACAAATCATTAGTGAGACAATCTCGGAAAAAAATGGCACTATAATTAGCTCCCAGGATAGACGACTGGATCGTTGGAAAGAGCATTATGAGGAGCAGTTTAATTGGCCCACAGCCACGCTCAACCTTCCGAGCATCCAACACCTCCCTGAATGGGATATAGACACAGGTCCTCCATCCCTGAGGTTACTAAAGCTGTCACCAATCTGAAACTAGGCAAAGCAGCGGGACCTGATGGAATGACTCCAGAGGTATTTAAGTACGGTGGAGACAGCTTACTGTCTGCATTAACTGAGGTACTAGGCAGCGTCTGGGAATCAGAAGAAGTCCCATCGGGTTGGTGTAAGTCACTGATTATCCCCATATACAAGAAGGGAGACAAGTCTTCCTGTGATAATCACAGAGGGATTAGCTTGACTAATATAGTATCTAAAGTCTTAGGCTCAATAATCATGCGTAGACTGAGTGGTGCTCGGGAGGCACAAACACGAGAGAGCCAGGCAGGCTTTAGACCAGGAAGAGGGTGTATTGATCATATCTTCACCCTCCGACAGATTCTAGAACATAGGCATTCCTACCGGCGTCCAACAGTCATTATATTTCTTGACCTAAAGGCAGCATTCGACTCTGTCGATCGAGAAGTTCTCTGGAGATGCTTGGCTGTAAAGGGAATTCCGAGAAAATATATTGCACTGATTAAGGCACTCTACTCGTACTCATACAGCCAGGTGAGGGCTTACGGCGAGCTGTCATCTGAACTGATGACGACCAGTGGTGTCCGTCAAGGATGCCCATTATCCCCTTTTCTATTCAACTTCATCATAGATGTGTTAATGGACTTAACCCTAGGTGACTTCAGCGACTCAGGGATTGACTTGCTACCAGGGAATAATCTCGTTGACTTGGAATATGCAGACGATATAGTCCTTCTAGGCGAAGACGCTGACGAAATGCAGAGTCTTCTAAACACCTTGAGCCGCAATCTACGAATGTTTGGCATGCGATTCGCTCCCGCCAAATGCAAGATGATGTTACAGGACTGGACTACATCGACGCCTAGTTTAAAAATAGGAAGTGAAGTAGTAGAGCACGTTGACCGCTTCACTTATTTGGGAAGTACCATTAGCCAGTGCCAACGGGTTGATCTCTGACGAAATCTCAGCACGAATACAGGGGGCCCGTTTCTCATTTGCCAGTTTACGCCGACTCTGGCGTAGACGAGATATTCGACTATCGACCAAAATGCGTGTGTACTGCTCATCAGTCCGCTCCGTCCTCCTTTATGGTTGTGAGACCTGGCCACTGAGAGTGGAAGACATGAAAAGACTAGCTGTCTTTGATCATAGGTGCCTGCGTTCTATTTCCCGTGTAAAGTGGCATAATAAGGTGAGCAACATTGAAGTTAGGCGTCGAGTTCTAGGTAAACAGGGGAAATCAATCGACGAAGTCGTGAAGTTACAAAGACTGAGATGGTTAGGACATGTGTTACGTATGCCAAGCCATCGCCTCCCTCGACGAGCTATGTTAGCGGATATAGGGTCAGACTGGAAGAGAGCTAGCAGCGTCAAACCAAAACATGGCATCAGTCAATGAAATACACAACAGTTGGTCTAAGCCACGTAGAAAGGTGTAGACTTGCAGGCTGGGGTCCTCGGGACGGTAAAAATCTATGGTTGGAAACAATTGGTGACATGGGTCAAAACCGTTTTCAGTGGCGCAGATGCATCCACTCCCTGTGACTTATGATCTCCAATGGAACTGTTTTGTATTTCTTTATTACTCCTTTGTCTCACACCTCTGCTCACTGTTTCTATTATGCTTTTCTTGTACTTTCTTCTCTTGCTTCGCGTGCTACACGGAATGTGGCGACTTGGACTTCCGCACGTTTGTGCAAAGTTCTATGTCGAAAACAGACACATTAAAACTGAGTTTAAATGGGGTTCTTTTTACTTCGACAAAATTTTGGTACAAATGATCACAGGGTAGTTAAACAACAACAAAGCTGTTTGTCATATATAGCAATGAAATTTAACTTGAAAAGTTTAACTTACGAAATGTAGGTGATAACGACGGACTCTGAGGGTTTGATCCATAGAGTGGAATTGGAATCAAGTGAGGCAAGGTGTTAATTCTTTGTGGAGCTGGATGACCCTGAGTTGATAAACGACCAACATTTGCGATCTGACTGACATCAGTTGGAACCCATAAGGGATTCGTAACATTGTATGCTGATACTGAATTCGTGGATCCGGCCACATAACGATTGGGTGCTGTTACGGAGGCACCGGAAGACTGTTGTTGACGACGCTAAGGAGGGGATAGTTACAAAGAGAATACAATACCCTGAGAAGTGAGTTGTGATAAAGACCAAAAATAAACCTCTTAAGAGTCATCTGCTTTGACAAACTGTTTCCCTTTTTCACGAGGCACAAAACTGTTACCAATTCCTCAGCTATTAGATAAATATGAAGTTTTGCTTGACGCGTGACATCACAGTTATCATTTGATTCCATGAACAAAATGTAAGTGGTGAACCATCTCATCTATATTTTTATACATCCCTATTCATTTCTCAATGCATAAACTTTTTCATTATCTCACTTAAATACTTCTCTGAAGCTCACGCATTCGACATCACCTATGAAATGCTGAAAATAGCATTTCTCTACGAAATACCTCCAACATATGCCTGTCATGTCATTGTTGTCTTATTTACATTTTAACATCTAAGCTGTGTCAACCTTAGATGAGACACCACTGTGCAAAATTTAAGGTTGATTCATCTTTCCAACGATTAGTTATTTATTCACAAAATAACGCTGAATTTTCCTAGAAAAGCACCGCTGTATTATGCAAACCATTCAAGTACACAAAGAAAGGACAAAATGTATTAGGATAGACGCTATTTCAGATGACCACTCTGCATAAGCTCATATGCCCCATTATAGTCCAAGTAGCGCCTTTATTATTATAATTATATAGTCTCTCAGCAGTCGAAACGACCAGACATTGCCACAGCATCTTACTTAAAAGCAATCTTAGTATATTAAACATATCACATAACTTCTGTGAAAAATCCGTGAGGATGGTTACGGAGCAAAAGTAGTACAGTTACTACATGCGCCAGTAAACATTCTACTGCCTTCGAGGACTTAAATTAGTTCAATACACCTAGGATAACATATCTAACGTGTGTGCAATCCAGAACGTTTCGTAAAACAATGAACGTCATATATATATATATATATATATATATATATATATATATATAATGACGTTTACTTCAAGTCACTTCAGTCTCAACAATAACCATACAAAATGAAATTTCCAGGGTCGTGCAATAAGTACGAATAACAAGTCGTGTGACTTTAAGGGAAGAGATAGAACTCAGGTTCTGGCACTGCTGTGAACACCTGGGACTTACTCTTACAACCAGTGGTATAGGCTACTCAGATTGAAGCTTTTAAAGCGAAAGTGCATTTAATACATACTAACAAAGTCTACTAAACCTTCTATTCTGAATCTCCTGAAGATCAAAGTTAACACTTTGCAAAACAAAAATGTGACCAGAATTTGAACACTGTAACAACTGAGCAGTATGGGAGAACCAATACAGGACAATAATAAATACTGAAGTAACAGGCTATATAAATTTAGGCTACAGACTGATGTGTACAATAATTTAAAGTGGTAAAATAACTTACCTGAGGACGACTAGATTTTGGGTACCTCATGTAACGAACAAATGGACGAGGACGATTCCCTGAGCTTCCAAGACTATTCGCATTTGATGCAGAATTTGCCTTCTCAGTTGAATTATTACTTTCAATCCTAGACTTCCCGTTGTGGTAATTTTCTTTATCATGTTCACCTGATCGACTCCATCGGTTGGCATCTGGTCGCGAACCAGCAAACCCATCAATATTGTTAGGCTTAGGGAAAATGTACTCTATCGAGGCTTGTTCCCACTTCTTTTTCTGATGGTTAGTTACCGTAGATTTGACATTTAAATCAACCTGATAGGAATTGGTTTCAGTGGACTGCAGACGTCAATCACACAAAAACAACTTACATTTCGCTTTTGCTTATCCTTCGTTTTGGAATTTGTAACCATATTGCTTGTATTGCATTGTGACACTTGAGACAAGGCGCTTTGAAGAGTTGGCCAGTCTTGGTCTTTACTGCAAGCACCCGGTTGACATGTAGCCGCATCTGACCCATCGCCAGATGCTCCCGGGGCTGCAATATATCTTCCTGTATATGGATAAGACATACCTTTTGCCCAAGGATTGTCTTTATTGACTAGGCAACCATTCAATCTTGAGTGAGACTCAGTTGTAGAGTGATCGGAATCCACTTGTAAACGAGCATTTAACAAGGCTTTCTGTTAGCATAATAAACTTAGGTAAAACTGATTGAGAAATACTTACAGTATCCGAAATATTCACGTGGTCGCTTGCAGGCTGCCTGGTGGCCATGAACAAAACCTACCCCGCTACGCGCCGGCGTGACATCAGAGCAGTTAAAGTATGACAACACTTAATTTCGTTTCTTCGCTTCAAATCTTTATTATTTAACTAGTATCTTCACTTCGGCTGTTTTCTTATGCTGTCGAACGTGTTAGGACAAAACTATAGGGATAAAATACTTAAGCACTCCAAGGATAACAATTTCAGGAGACGTTCAATAATCCATTTCGACATTACACATTGAACCCTTCGAATACAGATTGAAATCAGCTTGTTCCCCTTAACCTATATAATTGTCAATGAAACACATGTCCACCTTTTTTTCCAAGACTCTGCTAAAATGTCCAGAGACCATTTACCTTAATAGGCCGCTTCTTACAAATCTCCAGGATGTGGCGGTCCCACCATGGTTTGTGTGATTTCTCGCACGAAATGTTAAAGAAAACACCTGCAAAGTAAAAGGGGGATTGACTTAAGTCATCGTGGGATTAATGTTTTTTCGATACTCAAGCTACAAAACAAATTAGCGGCTTCATGCATTTATTATATTGTCTATCCAAGTGTATTCAGTCGAATAACGACTAATAATAATAATAATAATAATGTATATTCTCATATAAACATATAAATTTACATGAAAATGCATGCCATTTTTACAGGCACGATCAAGTATGATATAATATCAAATCGTAGATTGTCTACAAGTTAATAATGTTTCAACAGTTAAATATTTGATATATATATAAATACACATTGTCTGAACTAGGCTGTATAGTTATTGAATTGTACAATTGTCCTCCAGGTTGAGCGGGAAAATCGACTTCGTTTCGTTTTCATCCCGTGGTTGTCGGCATACGATAACCAACCAATATTGAGGTAAGTACAACGTTTACAAGGGATTGAAAGCTGTTTTAGAAAAGTAAAAGTGCTGAGGTGAATCATTAAATTGTAATGAAATAGGTAAGTGCAAGTATCATTAATAAATGCATTAAAAAAGAAAACTCCCTAGGCTGACAACGTTCATTTGCAATGTATAATGCAACACATATACCTCGTACTATCATGATGTCCAATTTTGGTTTTAATACATTTATCCTCAGTTGTGCCAGTTGTTTTTGTTTTATACCTTTTTGTGCATTTAATGTACAACCGTACCCTTCAGAGAGTAGGAATATAATAAGTCATAAAGAGCTGTAAAATGTTAGGTTTAATGGAATATAATGAGGATCAAGTAAAGACGTTATTGGAAAATGAATGAGATAAGACATTGTGAAGTGGTATTTAAAGATCAGTCAATGGACAGCAAGTTAGTTTATAAGATGCCCCATAAAACTGTGCACATCCCACATGGTCGCATCTCAACAATAGGCTGGGCGAATAGTATATATTTAGAGGTAGAAGCATGATCTGTCAAGGCGTTCATTATTATCTTTTTCAAGATAAAGATCTAAGCCCTCATAAAAATCAGAAATATCTCGAGCCTTTAATTTGTGTATTGCTGTTCCTGCAGAATGGGGCGATTCACCTTAGTGACCCCCACCATATCTACTGATCAGCTAACGCCACCCTCCCTCCTTTTTTGATGTTAAGCTCTGAGACTATGATTATTATGGCTACCGCAAATAAATTGCTTGGTACCAGACATGTTCGTACCTCATATTCCATCTCCCTAGCTTTCTTAATGAGTGCTTCCAATAGGTCTCCGCGTACATCTTTATGAACATTATATATGTATGCATGCGTCCTAATGAACAGATTACTTTACAAGAAGTTAGAACCTTAAAGAATAAAAAGAATAGGTTTTGTGAATAGTGAAGCAAGATTCAGCAGAACAATATAGTTAGGGATCAATATAGGTAGTATGAACTGAAGGTAAGGTCGGTTGGCAGGACTTAGTGTACTAAATTATCATGACAGTCTTGTATATAGTAGACATCTGACATTGCAAAGTAACGTGTCTAAACATATTATAAAAAGATATTAACAGAACCAACAAAATTTCAGCATTTGTTTAACAATACTACAGAAGGGTAGTTAGTACTACAGGTAGTCGTAAAGTAAATCAATCTATGTATAATAAGAGCATAGTCAGTGTCATAATTCGTATTATCAAAGAATACATTAGGCTCAATAACTGAGTGTTATAAGGGAAACAAGCATGGTAAAGCAAGAGAACACTTGCCGCATAGCTATTTTAATCATTTTAAGTATTTTAATGACAATCGAATTTCAAGTATTGAACCTACATAATTACTAAGTGTTATTATATTGGTATTGGGACTAGTGTACTTTCCGTAGTTAAATATTGAAAAGCCATTGTCTCTCCACTCTACCAGCAGTTGAGATCTTTGAGGCGGGCTAGGGTGGACATGTTTATATGTTTTTCTAGGCTCCTTTTGAAACTGTCAGGCCTTTCACAGGATCTTATCTCAGAGGGTAGTTGGTTCCAAAGTTTGCAATATTTAATGGTGAAGAAGTTAGCTCTAGTGTTGAGTTTATGGGTGTTAACCTTGAGAAGGTAGTTGTGGTTGCGTAGTCCATACGATTTAGGATTAGCCCAGGTTATGGACGAGTTACTGTTACAGTGCTTTCTTATAACTTTGAATAAGAGAAATAAATTGCACTTCACTCTCCTTAACCATAAGGGCTCTAAGTCCAGTCGAATACATCTGTCAAGGTATTCTATTTGCTGACCATAGCCTAATATGCGTTTCGTAAGGAATCTTTGGACACTTTCAACTTTTTTCTGTCTGCCGACTTGAAGCTACTGTATAAGTGGGCACAGTATTCAAGTTTGGGGCGAATGCATATCTTATATATGGCTAATCTGGCTTCTGGAGTGTAAAAGTTGCGTAGCACAAAGCCGGTTAGACGTTTACAATCAGATACCACCTTATTTGCATGTTCAGTAAAGGTAAGATCTGAGTATGTTATCCCGAGATCTGTGACTGTGTTTGTGTTTGAGACAAGGTCACCGTACATGTATAGACACATGCTAGGTTTCCAACGTCCGAAGTATGTTATCCCAGATTTAGCTGGATTGAACGTTAACTGCCACTTTTCACTCCAATTACATAGACTATTTAGGTCTTCTTGGATTTTACTAACAATATTCATATCATTATAGTCAAAATCATAGACAACTTTGAGGTCATCTGCAAAGAGGTATGGCTTGCCATACTTGATCATAGAGACAATATCATTTATGAATACAATGAATAGGGTAGGGCCAAGAACACTACCTTGTATCACGCCGCTGGTTATCGGTTTGGATGTTGATAAGTGATGGTTGACTTTAACTAACTGTTCTCTTCCTGTAAGAAAGGAAGTTATCCACTCAAGAAGCCTTCCACTTATTCCATAAGATAGGAGTTTCAGTATGAGTCTTTTATGTGGGACTTTATCAAAAGCTTTCCTAACATCTAGAAATAATGTTGCTGCCGAACGACCTTTGTCTACACATTCAGTAATGTGGTCGAAATAATCTAACTGGCACGTAATGCACGATCTTCTATTTAGGAAACCGTATTGGAAAGGGGATATTAAGTCATTCGAGAGCAAATACTGAACAATTTGCTTCTTTACAATCTTTTCCATCACACGTGAAACTACGGAAGTAATGTTGATGGGGCGGTAATTATCTATGTCCGCTGTAGGTCCGGTTTTGTGAATGGGTACAACGTAGGATTTCTTCCAGCTATTTGGATATGTTCCACTCCTTATCGAAGTTGAAAATATCTTGAGAAGAAGTAGATTCATGTCATTTCCACCATTTTTTAAGAGGACGGAAGACATTCCATCTGGGCCGGGAGTATTAGTAAGCTTAAGAGTTGTGATAGCTTTATCGATTTCTTGGGCGTTTAAGACTACATCGCTTAGACACTTTTCTGTTTTACGAGGGAAATCTATATCCTGGTCATTTTCTAGAGTGTACAGTTTGGCAAAGTGCGTGCTAAACACCTCACATATATCCTCAGCACTTTCGTGAGTAATGCCACCTAGGTGTATTATTTTTGGATATGTTGATTTGGAGTTAGTTAACCTACTTTTGAAGAGTTTGGCTATTTCTCCAGTGTTATGTGGCGACTGAATTGCCCGCGTTTCTTTATTCCTAAGACTTAGATTTTTTAACTCATGGATTCTAATGAGGATTGATTTGATAGCGATTAACGACGATAAGTCGTCATGTCTATAGTAACTTAATGAATGCTTCCGCAAACTTCTTCTTAATGATATTGGAATAAAATCACCTTGAGGGATTTTGAATTTAATCAGTTTCACAGGCGCTATGACATCATTAACCGACTGTATATTGTCATAGAAGTTTTTAAGGACTTCCTCTAAGGAGTCATTGGTAAAGTAGGAATCCCAATTAGAGTATCTAATCAAGTCCTGATACAAGTCCCAATCAACCCGCGTGTATGGTCTTATAGGTGTCCGACTAACTTCGTTTCTGTGTATAGTTTCTGGGGAAATGTTAAACGAACATGCAACTATTTTATGATCGCTACCTGGGAATTCATGTCCCACATGAATTGTAGATGGTGCTACGTTGATCGTGAATATAAGATCAAGAATGTTATTGGACCTAGTGGGTACATTTATGTGTTGCGTCCATCCTCCAGTAATGATGGAATTAAGAAGATTATCATACCTCGAGGGTCCACGAAGTGTACGCCATGATATATCAGGCAAATTGAAGTCACCTCCAATTATATTATAACTGAAGGGGAGATTGGATGCAACACTAAATATGTTGCTGAGTACGTTATCGTATTCGCGGTTGGATGATGGCGGTCGGTATACGCACCCTATAAGGATAGGTTTACTTCTGAGAACTTTTATTTCGACCCACACCGAATCATTAAGTTGTGACAGAATAGGGTGACTAAAATGCGTTGCACAAATGGGTTGTTTAACGTATATGAGTGTTCCACCCCCACGACCTGTTTCCCTATCCCCTCGAAAAAGATTGTACTTATCAATTGATAAGCTACCATCCACAATGTCACTTGAGCACCAGGCTTCAGTGATCATGATCAGCGACGGATTGCATATAGAGGCTAACGTACATAATGCTAAATGTTTGTTAAGAACTGATCTAGCATTTATGAGGATGACGGATAGACTTTGACGAAGTGGTTTTAGTGTATGGGCAATATCATAATAAAATACTCTATGGTTATCAACTGAATATGTGCAGTCGTTATTGGATTCATTAATTACAACATTTTGATCACTAGAGACGGTTTCTTTAATTTGATAGTTAGGGATGGGTTGTG